TTTCTTTAAAATTATGGGATTTTCTTGTTGGTCGAGTGGTCGCAGGCGTTGCTTCTGAACTCTACGATGTTTTTATTTTGAATTTGAAGTATAAATGTTAGGATGGGTCAGGGAAATAAACAAAGTTTTTTGAGAGATGGAATTAATTATAATACTTTAGGAGGTGTCCATTGTCTGATGGCGTAAGCTAAACAGAAAAATGGGGAAATCCAAAAATCTCAGTGAGGGTTGACTTAGGGCTCTTTTAATTAAATAGAAGAATTAGAAACATAAGTAGATTGATTTTTGTTACTTGAACGTGGTGTCCGACTCCCAATTATTTTTAACGTATTTTATTATATAAACGGAAATGTTAATGCTGTAATTATTCAATTAAATGTAATTATTCATAATATTAACGGTTCAATGTCATTAATTAAATATGTATTGCAAAAATAAAATAGTTACAATTTCTCAAGGTCGTATAGTTGGACACATTTTATCGCGGTTTTTGATAAATGGTATGCAAAGAGGCTGCTTGAGGTCGTCCGTTGATAGTGTGTAGATTATTTTATAGTATAAAAATATGTTTAGGGATCCCTCGAAGGTTTTGCATGAATGTTAATACATTGATGTATTGTTTTTATTTGGCTTAAATGTAGTTGATAAAATTCTTTCGACTAAACCATCGGTGTCATTTTATACAGAAATAGCAAATTAATTGAAATACGGATTACTTATGTATCTTTACTCGAAAGATACGTGTTCCGGTGTGACTTGAAACTAGTAGAGATTTTCTCAAACTCATTTGGCTAAACCGTATCAATCGATGAACATCAATAACCTCTTCATTTATTACTTGGAATTCGTAGCCTATGCTAAAATTTTAGTCATTGAGAAATAAAAAGGTGATTTGTTTGTTTTTTTTTGCAAGACTATCTAAAGGTATCGATCTAGCCTTGAAGAAAGGTTTCGTATAAATTGTAGCAAAAACTGGTCTGGTTCGCGCATTGGAGGTCTTTGTTCTAAGACAATGTCAATTAACAAGGACAGACGTTTCCTAAACGGAATAAAATTTATTACCAGTCTAAGCTAAGTTTTATTGCTGATCTTTTTTAGCCGGGGTTGCGGAGTAAGCGCAATGAGGCCTAGAGCAGGAGAAGGAAGGGGGGGTTTACTCAGGACGAGTCTGACACTTCCTATGGCCTCAAACTGGGCGATGGGCAAGAAGTCATTTGATGATTTTCCACTGACATAAATAGTGTCATAAAAGCCTTTGTTGCTAATTGTAACACTAATCTTTATTATCTTATAATGTAAAAATGATAAGCAAAATGTGTTGGTAAGCGCACTACTCAACAAAGGCTGTGCCAAATTTTGCCATATTTTTCTCTGGAGAGATTCTTAGGAAAGGAAGTTATAGTAAGCAACCGAAAAAATACATTAAACCCAGAGCGAAGCAGGGGTGGGCCGGTAGTTAATTTTAATGGCATTGTAGTGTACCTACTATGTGATAAGGTTATTTCTATCATCAGGCAGTATTTCACACATCTAGACTATTACTGATAGCATTTAAATTTAAGTCCCTAAAACTTTGTCCGATGCGAAAATTTAATTTAGAGACGTCATATAATATATCATACTATTGAATCTTCCTAACCCAATGGAGCTTATCAGTTCAGTCGGATTTGCAAGGTTGCAGTATGGTCAAGTGCCATAAAATGCTGTGGCCATGGCTCCAGGCCAGGTTTCTTTAGTCAGACAGGGTGGTCTATAGTCAGTAAGTCTGATAGTCTCGCCCCAACTCTAGCACCTAATAAAAACTCTATACTAAACAAAGTCGGTAGCATAAATTTAAATTCAAATATGGAATAAAACGCAGGAGGTAATAGAGTGTATACACCTACCTATACCTGTATTTGTGAGTCAGGAAATACATATGTTGACTTCGAACTTCTTGAATTATTTATCATCTTTGAGCATACGCATGTCTTTTGTGCTGTCAACCATGATGATTTTGAAATAGGTAGTGTTTTTATTCGATTTTTTTGTAACATAATTTTATATTTATATAAAACTAGGGACCTGCTCCAGCTTCCCACGGGTGCAATACTAAATTACTCCTTATTATTAATTTGTATTCTATCACTATATTTCCAAAAATCGCATCAAAATCCGTTGCGTATTTTTAAAGATTTAAGCATACATAGCGACAGATAAGGCGACTTTGTTTCATACTGTGTAGCGATTTTAGACGATTAGGCATAGTTCTACTTGTGGTGCGTTTATTTTGCGCATTTTATCTTAACTTTACAAATTACAAAGGGGCCTAAACTATGACAGTACAAACTTGTTTCTGTTTAGGATTTTGCAATGATAAAATACATGTCTTCCATTAATTTAAAAGCTTGTTTGGCTGACACTGTGACACACTTCCGAATTACCGTTAACATAGCGAATCGCTACTATTACTAATCCAAACTTTAATAAATCAACAAACCCTGCTGAACAAAGGCCTCTTCTTCCATAAAAAAGGTTTGAGTATTAATCACCACCGAGTATTAATCATCAAGGCGGATTGTCGATTTCAAAATAATAATTACAAATTATAGGTCCAAGTTTTCTCACCATATGTCTTAGAAAGTATACATATAACTCGGAAAAATTCATATTGGTACTTGCCTGGTTTCGTAGGTACCCCCCAGGGCCACGACATTCAATTTATTATTATTTACAATAACATTTTTATCGGGTTCGATTCGTACGAAACTGTTCGAAGAAGTTCGACTAGTTTCAAGTTGAGAATTCCTTGTGCTACGTATCTAGTTCGTCGTTTCTCGTAAACATACGCACACTGCTCATGTTTCATCCTTTGTCCCAGTGTGGCTTGAGAGTGATCAAGGATTTTTCGAACAGTTAGTTATCTAATTCGTTGAATTAATGACAAATATATTTTTTGGGTCATTCGGTCATTAACAGTTATCATGATGTGGTCTTAACCCGAAAAAACAGAGCTACCTTCAATAAATCCTTACTTTGTCTAACGAAAGCAAGTCGCCAGACAAAGGATCTCAAAATTTTACTGACAAAAAACCATACATAGACCTTAACACAAATAAAGGGTCCGGGGTTGCGTGTGTAAGCACAATAATGTACCTACCGTGGACCCGGCCTAGAGCAGGAGAACATTTGGGGGTGATTTTTAGACACTAAAATACTGACACTCTCTTTCATCCTGCCCAGGGCTAAGATTATTTGACGGCTTTTCGATATGCGATAGTGATATTCTTAAGCTGTACTGCTGTGGGGTTCCACGCTCGTCTCAATAAGCCAATAGACCACCACAGACGGGACTCTACAGGGCTAATGTTTTGCCGGGTTGTAGGGTAAGCGCAATGAGGCACCGCGGCCTCGGCCTAGAGCAGGAGAAGGAACGGGTTTTTAGTCATTAATCCCCTTATTACAAAACAAGGTTTATCTTTAGTCCAGGTTTAAACCATTGAGTCGGGTTTTGAATTTTGAATCTTATTGTCATCTACCTTCAATTCGAAATACGAAAACTGGCTCAATGGCTTAGTCCTAGACTAAAGTAAAACCTTGTTTTGTAATAAGGCCGTAAGAGTCTGACACTCTCTCTCGCCTCACCTTGGGCGGGAGAAGTCATTTGATGATTTTCTTCTTAAACAAGAAAGCTTTACTGCTGATTTCGAAACACGTTCCTATCATAGAGAGGAAGCTAAAACATGTTCTTTGTACCGGAAAACATGTCCTTTCTAAATCAGGTCCGTGACCTTTCGGGTCAGCAACCTGTTTTACGAAATCGCAAAATAAACGAATGCTTAGTAATGACTTTGTTTTAGATTACAATAATATTGCTTTAAGTATTCATGATAGGCTTCCTTTTTTATTAAGCCCACTGATTACAGAATTTAATCACAATTTGTTACTCTTGTTCTTTCTGTATAGTTATTTCCTACATTTTTCACTGATATATATCGATTTTTTATGGGAAATGCGAGTCTTGCAAGTAAATCAATACTGTCATTAATATCTTAATGGTTAATGCACGAAGTTTTCACACGTAGCACTCGAGGACACCTCGGCACCGGCTGTGTTTATTTGGCAAATAAACAAGCGGCGTGAAGGCTTTTGTGTGTTTGCCTTACAAATGTTCGATTTGTGTACCTGTGACTATTAGGAGATATATATACGTGGGTTTCAAGGGCTGAGGTACAATCTTCTTCTTCTTCTTTATATATAAAAATTTCGTGTCACGTGTTTGTCCGCGATGGACGCCTAAACTAAACCGATTTTAAACTTGATATTGCATTCCGTGTGCATTTTGATACAACTTGAAATATATATTATATAGCTTACATCTCAATTTATAGTCACAATATTATTTTATTGCAAATTATTTGTCCATATGTAATACTCGTATAACAAGAACCTTAGCCACAGCAACGCGTGGCTGGGTCTGCTAGTATAATTAAAGTAACTAGCCTTCAGCCGCTTCGCGAGCTGGATGGACCAATTTCCTATCACATTACTCTGAGTAGAAACCGAAATAAATTCGGAGGCCACGGTCTTTTTAAAACCCCGTGATTGTAGGTGCTTTATAATATACTATGTATAATATATGTCCAGCCCGAAGCAGGAGAAGTAGAAGGGTGGTTTTAGTCAGTAAGGTTCTGACATTTCTTCGCTCCCTACCTAGGGTGGGTCATTTAATGATTTTCATATCTTATCAAAATAGAAAAGACCAGTTGAAAAGTACCGTGCAAGTTTGTTTTGTAGTGGTCCTTTGCATTTAATCAGAAATGAACCTATTATAGACATTTTAACGTGTCCAAACGATTTTTTTATTATTTTCTTTCTCAATAAACGTGACAATGAACTAGTTAGTCTAGAAATAAATGAAACCCAGATTTCTTATCGAATTGTATTGCATTCAATAAAAAGCATGTATTTCAAATTATAACTCTAAAAGTGATACTAATAAGTTCTATTTTTGTTCGCAGTTAATGTGGTCTATTTGCGGTTGTCTCCTCGTATCCTTGGTGGTTGTATTTTTCTACTACTACAGAAGATGGAGGTCAAAAGGTAATTTGTTTTAATTCTCTAAAAATTTAAAATTTCTAAATATCGTCTTTAAGTCACGTATTGGTCAGTAAGCTTAGTTCTTATTGCAGCAACAATTACTGTTGAAAATTGAAAATATTTGTCAGTTTTCTTGGGAGAAAATTATGTATTAAGTATTACTTTGGAATTATGAATGGATTAGCTATGCTTCGGACCAGAATTATAATACAGCCCCGCGGTAAATCGAGAACATGCCCTAACAGAAAACCGTCTCAAAACGCTTGTGTTGTGTTTTGCCGTATGTGTGAAGTTAACAGAGGTTCAATCCTGCCACCTTCTATATCCTCTTATTAATGCCCTTCCCAACCTTCAAATCCCTTACAAGCCCAAAAGATCACCATCACACTTGCAACTGTTCTGATGATGGGAGCGTCCATGGGTGGCGCCAATCGTCCACCATCTCGTGATCTGCAACCAGACCCCATCTACACATTAACATTAATTCTGCCTTCTATTCTGCAGAATTAACTGGCGCCACAGGGGGTGTTGGAGCTACAGGGGATGCCGTAAAAAGGTTCCGAAAACGCGACAAGATGCTGTTCTACGGTCGTAGGATGCTGAGGAAAGTGAAGTCAATCTCCAACTCTGGTCAGGGAAGGAAGAGACGCGCCGTCATGCGGTTTGCCAGGAAGCTGCTGCAGCTAAAGAAGGAAACTGCTCCTGAACAGTTAAAGGTGGGTCCAAAATAAGGGCCATTTATTTTACATTACTGTTGATTCGTTATTAAGAAGAAGTCGGTTGTTGTCGTGGACGTTGCTCAAGCAGCAACGATATAAGATATATAATGATGAATATCTTGGATCATATAATTACAACTGTTATTTGAACCTAATTATCAGCCCGTGTATGCTGGACGATGTGCCATTTCTACTTAAGGCAGGGTTATTCCTGTTTCGGCATACATTATTTGGAATGTATATTATTAGAACCATTTCCATCACGAGTAAACAATTAAACATAAAAATTAAAAAATTGTTTCAAAGTAGCACCAGCTTTGCCTCACGGTTTCACTCAAGTAACTTTCCAGCAGAGAAAGATTTTTTAAAACAGTAAAATACTTTATAAATCCTTTTCAATTCAAACAATCAAGTCTTTCCTCCTTATATTATTAGTATAGAAAAAACCTTTTCAATAATATTTTTTACAATTATTCAAGGTTCTGGAGCCTCCAGCAGAGTATTTGGAGGAAGACCTGACGAGTGATGACAGGGTTCCACCAGATGCCCTGTATATGCTGCACAGCATCAGGGTGTTTGGTCACTTCGAGAAGCCCGTGTTCCTCATGCTTTGCAAGCACACTGAGATCCTCAATCTGCCTGCTGGGACTTTCTTATTTAAAGTTGGTAAGTTTAAGTAACATTACCTTTTTTATGGTGTAAGTCGGCAAACGAGCAGACGGATTACCTGATGGTAAGCAATCGGCGCTAACCTCACTCACACGGCGAAATACAACGCTGTGGTTGTTTCACGCCGGTATTCTGTGAGGCCGGGGTCACATAGGGGTCGAGCCGACTCATTTGTGCCGAAGCTTGGCTCTCATAACTTATATTCTTTTGTAATGTTGATTGTAGTATGTGTGGTACTGCTTATTTAAGTGTGTCAAAAATAAAAAGAAAATAATGGCAATTTTTTGAAGAACAGGAATATTTTTGATTTTAATTTTTCTGGATTCTTGTAAAAAAATTAGGTTTTTATTACTTTTGATGGAGTCTTTATAAAGCCCATGAGCGTTCGTCGTCGAAGGCATAACATATTAGCAATTTATTTATGGAATTCGCACATTAAGCATAACACTAATAAGTTCGACCTTCAGTATCCCCTTAAGTGTGGGAGAGCGAAGTTTCGATACAAATCCGGCGTAAAGCAACAGCTTTGTGTTTCACAGTTTAATTTAAGTTACCGGGGGCCTTCCCCCCACTCCTCTCCAATTCCTTAACCCCCAAAACCACATATCCCCAAAACGCCGGCAACGAAACCACAAGTCTTCTGGTGTCCACGAGCGGCACCATTAGATAATCTTAGACGCCTTATCACACAAAATAAACTGAGTAGAATGAAACTAAAACATGTCTATCCACGTTTCTAGGTGACACGGACGAGAACGTGTACGTGGTGCAGAATGGTCGCGTGAACGTGTACATCACGAACCAGGACGGCAGTAGCCTGTCGCTGAAGGTTGTGCGCGCTGGAGAGAGTGTCACCTCACTTCTCAGTTTCACTGATGTGCTTACTGTGAGTACAATAATAAATTATTATCATATATTGCCTCATGTTAAGATTTTCTCCGTGTCGTGGGTACGTTTAAAAGTTTGCATACGTGATACACAGTAACGAACCAGTTATTTGTGTATTAGATATAATTAAGAGTGAATGAATCGAACCCAAAACACACAACACATCACAAAACACAATGCGTCACTATACAGAGTAATTGATTCTTGCCTATTACTCCAAAAGATCGCTTGAAGTAAATAATGATTTGTAAGGTATCACATTCAAAGAGAGTAGGTAAATGGTGGTAATTTCAAAGTTTTTAATATTATTCACATTTTTGTTTTACAGGGACACTCTCAACCTTACAAGACGGTAAACGCCAAAGCCTTAGAAGACTCACAAGTAATCAAGTTACCAATGAGGGCCTTCCAAGAAGTCTTCAAAGAATATCCAGATATATTCGTCAGAGTTATACAGGTATTTTATTTGATTTTAAATTTGAATTTGAAAATCTTCGTAGGTATACTAATCAAGCGTAATTAATAATGTCGCCAGTTTGACGATGCAATATTTTTAAGACAAAATTTCTACAATAATTTGTGTAAATATGTAGAATTTACAACGACATGACAATATACAGCCCAATCCTTCCCCTCGCCCTAAATCCTAAATCCTTTTCCATAAGGCCGGCAACATACTCGAAACGCCTCTAGTGTTTTTTTAGAAGTTAGTCTGCTCCATTGTCACACTTAAAAATTAAAGTATTCTACCTTAGCACATACCTATTAATACTAAAATAAATTATTAATTTGTTCTTGTATGTTTCCAGATCATTATGGTGCGGCTACAGAGGGTGACATTCACAGCTCTGCATCAGTATCTTGGCCTGAGCGCCGAGTTGGTTAATCCGGTAAATATTACTTATACTTAATCTATAATATTTTGCCTAAACATTTTGAAAAAAAATACCACATTTTTTAATAAATGATAGCTCTTCCTATCTATAGGTGGTAACATATCAACTAACTCCAATTTGTTAAATACGGTAGTTTCCAACTAGTCAAATTCAATACTTTTATCCAAATGTCAAAAACGATACTTTTCTATGAAATTTGTATGAAAAACTGAGTTATGACATCATAGTATTTTTGCGTATAATAGCGTAAGTACTTATTTCTTAAAAATTTGCTTAAAAATATCTAAAATCGAATTAATTTATTTTTGTCCTAGAAAACTACCCAATTGTATTTGAATGGATTTTATTTTACTTTATTGTTTTGTAATGCTAAATTCATTATTTTGTGATTAAGTCGTATGAAATTGGTGAAATGATCAATATTCCACTTTTTACAGGGTCGCGACAAACGTCGTCCTAACACAGTGTCGTCCTCTCCGGGCAAGACCTCGAAGATGACTACAGCTGATAGCAGCGCAAACATGCATTCCCCCCACCACAGCGACCGCGCTATGTCTGAGCATCTGGTAATTACAACTACCCACATTTTATTTGTGAATGAAAAGAGTGTTTTGACGTTGAGTTGACTATTTGATCAAAGTTTGTGTTCTAAGTGATAAGCATGCTGTAAATTCAGTCCCATTTACACGATGCTAGTTTCTTACCTGTTGGGTACAATTAATTAAGTCAATATTTTAATTGCTTTATTTAAAACAAGTTTGGTATCATGTAAATAACAAGATGCAAGGAAAAGACAGAAGAGACCGCAGATATTGTTTCGAATTAATGCTAAAAATATCTGCGCAAGCGTAATAATACCAAGCATTTTTATTTTATACAATTATTGTTCTTGTATATTCAAGGAAATGGTATCGTGTGTACCCTTTACTTTAGTTGATTTTTAAATTAGTTACTTCTCGAGAAACTACTTGGATAGTTTTTCATTTCCATTATGCAGGATTGCTTATTATAAAAAGAGATTTCAATTAATCACATAACTTTTAACTTGTTTTCCTATTACATATATGAAGATTAATTAAAGAAATTCTCATTTTGTGTTATTATCTTAGTTGTGAAATGTGTGTGTGCTTCCCTAATAACTCCTTCTCCCTCTACAACTAACAGAATGCATGCCAGGAGACGAGTCACGCGGCTTCGTCTCCGATACACATACAGGGACGACGGCAGAAACCCGACATGGTCCCAGATATAGCGACCAATACGCCGCAGGTGAGAATTTTATTGTACTAAGATACACTTGGTATTAAAGTTATATTAAAGAATAATACTAATTATATTATATACTCTGGCTTTTATTTAGTTTATGTATAGATTAGCTATATGTATAGACTTTAAAATATTATAAGTTATTTAGCTTACATAAGACTATGGCAAAACTAGAAATTGAATTTAAAACTCGATAAAAATAAGTCTTACAAGGCAACACACTTATGACTTCTTTGGTGCCGCAGGTGTCCCTTGGCGGCGATGATCACTTACTACCTGGTGATCTGTGTGCTCATTTGCATCCTATTCCATAAAAATATATTTTACTAGGCTATTAAGCGAGGCATTTCTATTTTTAAGTCTAGCGGTAGTCTTAACATAATGCTAAAAATTATTTGCTATTATTTACAGAATCAACCAGATGTCCAACCAAATCCATCGCTACAGAGAGCTCGGGAGGGATCTTCCTTTAAGAAACATAACACTGATAACCTCGATGAACAGGTCAGCATAGCAATCTGTAATCAAAAACCCTATACATAGACCATGCACCTAGCTTTACTGACGAACTAACTGGCAGGCAAAATGATTTTGACTTTGACTTTTGACTTTGATCGTATTTTGACACATACTCCATACATGGACAGGTTTTTGGCTTAGTTCATGCTTACAGATTTTGGACAGTTTATATACATTTATGGGTTTTTCAGAATTCAGGCAAATTGCTTCTATTAGTAAATTTATCGGGATATATAATGTGATACATTTTACTTCTTTTCATTTTACTTTCCTCGAAATGATTATTTTTCAAAATATTAAATTTTCTCAACAGCTACGAATATAAACTGTTATAACCAGTTTTTAATATAGCTATTTATATTTTTTCAATAACCAATCATATGTTATTTAATTGCAGGCGTTAATTCAAATAGCAACAGACGCGTTCGTGAAAGAGCTTGGTCTCGACAGCGATACTGTGTTGCGTGGGAACGTGCAAGTGAGGGACTTGCCGGCTGGGACATATATCATGAAGGAGGAAAGTCATAAGGTATGATCAATTAATGTTTATTTTGGTGATGGGGCGACAAATGAACAGGTTGATTGCCTGATAGTGAGCAATCGGCGCCGCCCATGGACACCTGCAACACCAGAGGAGTTACAAGTGCTTTGCCACTTGCCGGCCTTTTGACGATTTAATAAAAATAGAGAGGTTTTGGGTATTTATGGATTGGGTAAGGATACGGAAGGGGAAGACAACGCTGTGGTATGTGGGTTCATGCCGGTTTTCATTTAGGCCACGCCTTTTGAGCCGGCCCATTAGTATTTTGATAAGATTATCTATATATATAAAAATGAATCGCAAAATATGTTGGTAAGCGCATAACTCAATAACGCATAGATCAATTCCACTGATTCTTTTTTTTTGTTATGTGTGTTATTGTCAGGAGAAGGTTCTTATGAAATAAAATTTTAGAAAAGTACGGGTGAAAATTGAGGAAAAATTACCCTTTCGTTGTTAGTTAGATAGATGGACCCAAGCGAAGCGGGGGAGGGCCGCTAGTTATGCATATATTTGAAATAATAGACGATGAGGTCTGAAAAATAATTTTTTTAGGACAGAATTGGATTCATCATTCCTATTATTTTCCCTGAAATGAATTTTAAAATTGAAGTGTTCTGAGAAGAAATTTTAGTTAAAAGGTAACATGTATAGACTTGATGTGGGTGTAGCTATTTAACTGATTTCAATAATATGGAGGTTTTGTTGGGCTCTTAATTTAAGCGAATTAAGTTATTAATTACACTGGATGGACTGAAATTGCTACTTTTCTAAACTTTCTTTTTGAATAAAGTGGCTTTCGGAAAATCAATAAAAATAAAGGTTGTTATTGTAGCACATACTGCTCTAAACATTTTTTTAGTTATTAAATTGCTTTTATAATTTCGTTTCATAAGCTGTATTATAGTATTCCCGGCGAGCCGGAAATCTCTCAGGTATGGTTTTGTGTGAAACATTGACAGTTCCATACGTCATGGTGACCATATCACTGTCATGATCACATGTATAAAAACCATGAAACTTATGTTCTGTGAAATTGAAAAAATCTCCTTCATGAACTTCATACTTCTGAATATCTTTGACGCAGTTGCTAGGCAACCATGCAACGTGTCGCGAGCTCGGGATTCTCGCACGGAGCAACTCTGTGTCACAAATTATTTGAAGTCTGAATGTAATTTGTTATCTTTATAAACGCATATCATTTGAGAATATCGGGATATCCCTATCCAAAGTTTTTAAAATCATAACAGAAACAAATAATTGCAGATTTATTTAGTGGTAATTTGGATTTATAATAATGTTTATAAGATTTTGTAAAATAATAAAAATACTATAATAATAATATTTGGTTATCGTTAAAAAGGATACAGCATTCGCTTTTAAATTCTCTCTTTATTGTATTCCATCGTGAGGCATCGAGTGTTCCGTTGTTAATCATTATTTTTTTGACTTTATATCATTATGGTTTTGCTTATTTCATTCATGTTAATAATAATTAAAGTTTATCTTTTTTTTAATAGATATAGTTACTACACAAAAAAACTCATACCTCCTCACTTAGATTTTTTATTTACTAAGTAATATGTTAAAAAAGTTTGTTCCTACAGAAATTCCAAGTTAACAGCTTCTGTGATGTATATAAGAAAAATATTGTGTTTAATTAATTCAGTTCTTTATTTGTAGGATGTGGCACTAGTGTATCTATTATCTGGAGCTCTGCTGGTGTCGCAAAGAGTGGCGGAGGGTGAAGGAGAAGTCCACATGTTCACCGCGTACCCAGGTAAGGGAATATTTATTTATTAATATCTTCCTTACACAAGACAGTCTGAATGCCGAACTAAATGCCATATTAGGATAGTTAATAGAATATTTGTAACTGCGTAAAATATTCACTGTATACTAGTCTTATTGGTATGATAGGTCAATTGGTAGTGGTACAAAGTAAAAAAAGAAGTGTCAAAAAGGAAGAGTTGGATTAATTTTGAATAAACTGCGGGCATCACTGGTAGCTTGCGTCTTATTGGTGGCTTTGTGTCTTATCGGGCCCCGCCTTAAAACTAGGCACTACTGAGAGTCTTCTACTCGTGGATTTAAGTTAATAGGGAGCTGATACCTTCTGTTGCCCCCTCTCCCCTCCCTCAAATGGGAGAAGGTGCCTTTCCCCCTAGCCCACCTTAAAAAAAAATGGGCGGGCTCCTTGGACATCAGTCAAAATCAAATGGAATGATTAGGCAAAAAACTGAATTTAACATTTTTTTATATGTAACTAGCTGCTCCCGCGCTGTTTCACCCGCTGCTCGGCTCAATGTACTCGTAGCTTGATGTTTTATAGCCTATAGCAGTCAGAAACATTGTAGCTATCTATTAGTGAAAGAATTTTGGAAATCCGATCAGCGGTTCCAAAGATTACCCCTACAAACAAACTTACAAATTTTACCTCTTTATAATATTTAGTATAAATGAATTATTAAAAAATATTTGATTAACATTTCAGGTGAAGTGGAAGGTGGTCTAGCAGTATTGACAGGCGAGCCGAGTTTCTTCTCGATTCGAGCGAAACATTTCTCTCGTATCGGCCTGTTATCGAAGACGACAGTGTACAGCATCATGAGGGAGCGTCCCTCCGTTGTATTGCACATTGCCAATACAGTAGTACGGAGACTGTCACCCTTCGTGAGACAGGTGGACTTTGCTCTGGACTGGGTAAGTTTGATATTTGCTATTTAAAATTTATTAATGGCATCCATTTGGTTAATAATGAGGATTATCAATCCCTGGTAACCTCACTTTAGTCATTTATTAGAAGACTTTTTTAAGACATATTTAAATTGCCCAAAGCTATTGAACCACAGGAAGAAGTAAGAATGAAAGTAATGAGAACGTACAGAGGAAAGTATGGGCACGGACAGATGGAAATTGTGGAACTTCCTTTAATAGCAGATAACAATATCTGCTACTATTATTCTCTGCTATTTCTTTTCTTCTCTCTCCTAAAGATTTAGGCATTTGATTATAAACATTTATGTTTATAATGAGACATGTCATCCGTTGGGGTTGCGAGGCAAATGCAATAACGTACCGCGGCCTCAGTTTAAACTGGGAAAAGTAACGGGCGAGGAGGGGGGGGGGGAATTAATCAGTAACATTGTCTGACACTCCTTCTCACCTTATCCTGGACGGGGTTATCATTCGTTAGATGATAAGCCCTAAAAACCCATTTTTTTAAATAGTGACTTATTAAAGAATCATTATAATCTATTTACAGGTATTCCTCGAATCAGGGCGCGCAGTGTACCGCCAAGACGAAGAATCCGGTTCCACATTCATAGTCCTAAGCGGTCGTCTCCGGTCAGTCATAACTCATCCGAACGGCAAAAAAGAATTAGTTGGCGAATACGGTAAAGGAGATCTAGTAGGGATAGTGGAAATGGTCACTCAAACTAGACGCAGTACTACAGTTATGGCTGTAAGGGACTCCGAGTTGGCCAAGCTGCCCGAAGGATTGTTTAATGCGATTAAATTGAGGTTCCCCGTTGTTGTGACCAGACTGATCAATCTACTTGGACATCGCATTTTGGGTGATTGCTTTTTTTCTTTATTATTGCTATTGTTGCTTTTTCATTTAATATCTTAATCATTTAATAAAAACATGGTGCATATAATCTAGTGAAGCGAAAACAGTATATAACGAAACTACCTACTTAAACTGATATATCCAAAAATATTTGACTTTCAATTTTATGCTAAAATATCAAGGCTATAAATCTATTAATATTTCGATAGTTTCCAACTAGTCAAATTCAATATTTATATAGAAATGCCAAAAACTATATTGTTATTTGTATTTGTATGAATAACACATGAAAGTATCATACTTATTTCTAAAATAAATCGTGGTAAACCTATAAAATTCAGTATTTCATATTGAAATCAAAAAATAAAAATATGATTCCATTTTTAAAATTAAAATATTTAAACATATTAAAATTGTTTACCTAGGAAACTATTCAGAAACAATTCTATTCCAATTTTCCAGGTTCATGGCAGAAACCCACAGCCGGATTAGGAGGCGCCGCCGCCATAGAGCCGCGCCCCTCTCAGCACAACTTCTCGACCGTGGCAGTCGTACCGGTCAGCGATGATGTACCCTTGACTGCCTTCACGTATGAGTTGTACCATTCTTTGTCTGCTATAGGTAAGTGTGTTACCTGCAATACAATACTCGCAAGGTTAAATTTGGTTAGTCGAATACTCGCCAAACCTCGCCACGTCCAACTTTGTCTCGCCTCTATATTTTATTACGTGGAAATGTTTTTCGAAGTTTACTGGTTCACCCATTTCACTGTGTTGCATTGGTGCCTATTTGCCAACCCCAAATAGTGTAGTTTTCGTAATGGGGATTGAATTTCCTGTAGGTTTGGCAGCACTTGTTGTATAGGCTAAATAGCTTCACTAAGAGGACTGACCGACAGACTGACACTTTATATCTTTAAAATTTTGTTTGACGTTCAATAGTGCCTGTATGGGTCTAATTGAAATAAATGGGTTTTGACTAGCCACTTGATATTAGATATATTTATCAATCTCTTCTTCCTACAACACCTTACCCTCAAAGCCCTTGATTATTCATCCTGATTAATTGTTAGTCAAAAATAGTACTAATACAATTGATTCCTTTTCTTCTAGGTCCCACAGTGCGTCTGACTTCCGACGTGATCAGAAAGCTTCTTGGCCTGACAATCATGGATCCGAACAATGAGTACAGACTCAGCTCCTGGCTGGCTCAACAGGAGGATAAGCATAAGGTTAGAAAAAAATGTGAAATAGCGTTATTGATTACGAAATGTTATAAAATATAGCTAAAACAGATTTTTTTTTTGATTGTATGATACCAAATTTCTATTCTTCATTACTCTACTTTCATCTTTAATAACTCTATCTAAAAAAAAACGGATCAAAATCCATTGCGTAATTTTAAAGCATACATAGGGATGTAGGTTAGAGAAAGCGACTTTTTTATATATTATATATTGATGTTATTATTATGCCTTTTGAGAAAATACATATTTGGAAGAGTTCTATAATTAAAGAACCCTTTTTTTTACAAAAATAATCATTTTTTTAACTTTTTAAGCACTGCGGGAACAAAAAAGACTGTCGTAAATTTTTATTTCTTAATTTCAGGTGGCTTTATACCAGTGTGATCCCAGCCTCACACAATGGACACAGCGCTGTATCAGACAGGCTGATTGTATTCTCATAGTCGCTTTGGGAGACAAACAACCCAGTATTGGAAAGGTAAGCTTGCTATTTGCATGCGAAAGTATAGTAGGTGATTTCCTATGTGAGTTGTTTTGCGCAAAGTTGCGCATGACAAATTCTTATTAATTAGGCATATTGTATGTGTTGCGCATAATAGATTCTGGTGTTTGGTAATTCCCGCAATATGTATTGATAGGGGTCGATTCTCGGTTAATTTACGTGATTAAAGGCTGATTTTTCAAAGGTTAGATAAAAGTTACCTGGGAAATAATTATGTTGTTGTCGCGTCAGATTGTTTGTATAAGACAGTGACAGCAACAATTTTATTCCTCTTTAACTGACTATTGCAATATCAGCCCTAAGTCAGTATTTTCAACTTATTGAACGACACTTGCACGTGTAAGTTTAAAATAGATACTCCTAGTTTATTTTTCTAACTTTTAATTAACTTTGATTAATTTTCTTTAGATTTTATTTATGTATATTTAACACTGCATTTATACATAATACATATAAATGAATTGTATCCAAATTCCAGATAGAAAAAGAAATAGAACGCCTAGCAATACGTACGCAGAAAGAATTAGTGCTACTGCACCGCGAGGGGGGCCCTCAGCCGGGCGGGACGGTGCACTGGCTGAACATGAGGTCGTGGGTCAGTCAGCATCACCACGTGCGGTGCCCGCATCGAATGTTCACTAGGAAGAGCCAGTATAGAATTGTGAGTGGATATTTAGCTCATTTTGTTGTATATTTAGCACATTCAGTGCCACCGACTCGTCCATAAAGTCTACGTAAATTTACTTCCGCCTTTAATTTACGCCCGCCTTACGGACTCGCCTGGCGAGTTTAACGTAAGGCCGCTATCCCACTAGGCGTTGACATCAACGTTGTGAATCGTAGTGGTATTGAAAGTGTTAAGTATGTTTGCTTGCTACTTGCATCAACCATTTGCTCATCCTGCATCACCCAAGGATTAACTGGTAGAAAATACCTTGGGCATTAAGGCCACCTATGTACCCATTGTAGATGACGTTTTAATAAATTAATATTATTTTGTTTAACCTCTTATTCACCACCTATAAGGTACCTGATAAAGTTATGTCTCACATAGTTCATTGTATGTTACATAGTTGTTAACCAGACATTATGTAATAGGCCGTTAGGCCACATTTCTGAAAGAAGCCTAGGCCTTGTGTGACTGGTCTGCGTGCTTAAGGAGACGCAGTCTCAGTGTTTTGTAGCTTCAGTTTTAAGGATATATTTGTAATCGAAAACAAAAGTGTACCTTCAATTCTATATATATATATGTACAATTTACATCAAAGTACATAGTTGCATTCACGGTAAAAATTTAGACCTTCTTGGTTATTTTGAATAAGAAACTTTTGAATTTTATTGTATGATAAGTACTACTAAATTGTTCAATCTATGAATGTTTGAGTTAAGACCAGAAGTAATGTCTTTTCTATAACTTTGTTTTCTACTTTACATGCAAAATTACATGGGTGGGCTTTAAACCATATTCCATTAATTAGAATTGCAGAAATGCATTAATCAGTATTATGCAGAACTTTCTTCAGTATTAAAACAAGTTATCTCAAATACTTAGTACATTACATGCGTAATATTCCCCAGAGCGAGTTGTACAGCAAAGTGTTGATGTCAGAAGCGAGTGTACACTCTGACTTCTCCCGCCTGGCGCGCTGGCTGACCGGCACCTCCGTGGGTCTCGTACTGGGCGGCGGCGGGGCGCGCGGCGCCGCGCATGTTGGCATGGTGCGAGCTATACAGGTATCAACATTTTTCAGTGGTTTTTGGAGTGTCTTTCATCGATATACTATGCTTACTCTAATGGGAGATAATCGTGAGAGTATGCATATACACATATATCTGAAATTTTCAAGTCAGTTGGTATGGTGGACATGTTGAATGTCGCGCAATGTTTTACTGATAGCATTTTATAGCTTGGAGTAGGAGATGGAATAGGATGGTTTCCAATCAGCAAGAGTCTGATACTTCATCTCCATTTCTGCCATTTAGGAATGGAGGAGCAATTGGATGATTTTGTAACATCAAAAAAAAAAAACAAGTGTTTAGTGATATGCTCAAGTAACACAAAAGTCAGTTTTATGTTTAAGTTCCTCTGCGATTCGAATAGGTTTTCCTACACTTGATTAACCCTACTACACATTACGATGCCAAAACTCATATAGTCTTTTAAATATGCTTGAATTTCGTCTATTTGGGAAATCAGTTCTAAGTTACTAACACAATTACAAAAGGCATCGATTCTACTAATGCTAAAATTAAATTATGCAAAGATTATAATAATATATGTCATTTATTTGTAACCAAACATTAAAAAAATCAATATAAAACGCATAACTTATGCAATCACTAGTTATCTGAAATTCTATGATCCCTTTTTCAGGAAGCTGGCATCCCCATAGACATGGTGGGCGGAGTTAGCATCGGCGCATTCATGGGAGCTCTTTGGTGCATGGAGAGGAACATCACCACTGTCACACAGAAAGCCAGGGAATGGTCACAGGTATGTATGAATTAATTTGTGGTCTTCTCTTCTCTTCTCCTTGGCCGATGTATCACGGCTTCACAAGAAACAGGCATGAAACTATGGTTTTTCCACTCGCAATCTTCAAATTTCTAACAACACCCTAAAAGGCCAGTGGCGTACTTGTGACTCTAAATTCTGGTGAATTGGGTACTGAAATAAAACAAAATATATTACAACTTTATTATGTGTTACTTCTTGGACTGATTGGTCGTTGATAAAAAATAAAAACTTAGGTATTTTTACAATTTCAGCAAACAAAAAAAGTTGAATAAAGAAGTAGTTTTGAAATGCTTAATAGTTCAGAGTGTTTATGTATGAAATCGTCGTTTGAATAATACTGATGAGTAAAAGTGTTGCCCTGTAGCCTTTTTGCAGGAACTTATTTTGTATCAGTTCAAAATGAATTCGTAAACTTTCGATACCGTTTCGTATATTCTAAATGATTGCTATTATTTTCATGAACATTTCAGAAAATGACACAATGGGGCAAGCAGCTTCTAGATCTGACCTATCCAGCTACTTCGATGTTCTCCGGGAGACAGTTCAACGCCACCATCAGGTCTACTTTCGGAGATGTACACATCGAGGATCTATGGCTTCCATACTTCACAGTCACCACTGACATCAGCTCAAGTTGCATGAGAGTGCATAGGCATGGTGAGTTTTTTATCTTAATATTTCAAAATCTAGACTTTGAACAACAATTCTTGAATAATTTATATTGATCTTGGGTACCCTTTCGGATGATCTTGTTTAATTTCGAGCCCAAATTTTAACGACTCTGGTCGAGCCTGTAAATTCTATTTTGATTACAATTTTTTTATTGTTTATAAAATTATTTTTTTTTGAACTGTTACTCAATACGAGAATATAATAATTATTTTTAAAGGTTTATTTTTTTAATATAATAAATTAATGTGTGCAAAGCTTCAATCGCATTCGTTGTGTCTCAAAAAGCACTGAGTACTTGAAATTATCACAAATATTTAAAAGTTAGTTCACCTATTAACACAACACATTTCGTGGATAGGAAATTTTATTTAAATAATTGTTTTTTGTTGATTTTGAGCTTTATTTTGCACTTTACTAACCCAAATTATGTTTTATTGCTTTTTATATTTATATTGTTGTTGTAAGTTATTAAAATCTTGTGTTGTTTAAATGTTATGGCTTTACGGCGCATTTTTAATGTTCATTGGTGTGCATACTAATAAATTGTTTAACATACAATTGGGCGGTTTCTTTAGTCAAAAAGAGATTATTTTAATTTATGGAACCATACACACGCTTCAAAATAATCACACTTGCATTCATTAATCGTTTAAGCTATTTGACGTAAAAAAAGATGGTGTCATAATTTTCTTTTTTTCAAAATTCGTAGAAATTGTCAGTTTGGTGCATTTTGAATAGTTTGAAACTAGGGTAGTAATAATAAAGCTATCGCAATATAATAAAGTGATTTTTATTCTTTGGAAGTGTCAGTATTGTATGGGTTTATGTGCCGAAATGATGGCTTATATACATTCTTAGGGCCTGTTCAATGCAATGCAATAAACAGGCTCTGAAATGTTTAATGCAATGTACATTAAAATGCGTCTATAAAAGCCATTGTGTAAACAAGTAATAAAATATTCGTGTCTATTTGATGCATGTTCATATTAATCGATATTGTGTGAAATTGTCGTGTAATCTGCAGACCAGATTTTAAGGCAGTGTGTTAGAACGCTTACAAAAATACGATGCTGAAAATTATATAGATGAACTATAGCGACGGTTATTTTTTTCTGAATTTAATAGTAGCGGGATTTCCTATCTCTTTACCGACAAGGAAAAGAGATAGGTACATAAATGATTTGATGTAAAATTTTACAAAGAGGACTTTATCCTACACCAGCGCCATCTACTAAGCGCAAAAATGATAACCCTCGCTCAGTTTGTCTACGCCGTCAGTGAAGCATCGTTCGTTTGTAAACGTTCTTTTGTTACAACGTCACCGTACACGGCTTTAGTGGAGCAATGTTTTTAAAGAGTCCCGTCACTTTGCTATTTGCGGACGTCACCACCGTCATACGATCAGTATCTATGACGGCAGTCATCACTGGTGTATTCAGTATTTTGCTAATATTTGAGCTCATGTCATTGACCCCACGCCCCTCACAAGGCAAGGTTGTCTCATTGTCCGCTACAGTCTACAAACCACACTCACTTGCATTTATATATCTGTATGATGTCAAAGTGTGTTTGTTACAATATATATCTGTATTACACCCCTCCCCACACACTCACGATGTTCTAAAACTGTTGAAATTTATTTATATTACTATTATTATTATTTTAACAACGTTACGAATCCGACATTTGCCATTGGGAAGTTGCCATTACTTAAAAAAAGCGCTTGTGATTGGTTTACCTAATAACGCTAATTTTGGGAGTTTATACATACAAAAAAATATTTTATTATTATGTATCGTCCATATAATGTCGGGTTGGATGTGATGTATAAGTTTGTATACATACAAAACCATCATACATTTCTCACAATCTCATCTTCACGTATATGCATGAGTGTGGTTCTTAGTTTTCATTTCCTTTTAACTATAACTCTCCATCCGTAGTTTGTCCGCAGCAGTCTGCGTCTATGTTGTGGCATGGTGCATGTAGTACTGTAGCAAGTCTATCCTCATCTTTATGTATCACGGACCAGTCGGCACTGAGACGTTGTTTGGGTTGGTAAAACGTTCACGTTCATTTCCTATCCATGGACTGTGTTGTATACCGATAGTGTTAACGTAAGCCCGCGACCCGCGAATGCAAGATGGCCGACGGGTGAGCAGTGTCCTTGTGTGTAGGTTCCCTCTGGCGTTACATTCGCGCATCCATGTCGCTCAGCGGGTATATGCCGCCGCTCTGCGACCCGCTAGACGGCCACCTCCTATTGGACGGCGGTTACGTCAACAATCTCCCAGGTAAACCAATCACAGCTCTGTGTTGCGTGCCCGTTCGCTCCGATTGGATGATTGGCTGATACGCACACAAGTTAGGCTGAGTGAACATATTGTCAGAAGAGTCTGTGAATTTTTGTATTCAAAATTTAATTGTGTATAATATAATTGAAGAAAAATTAAAGCGTAGTCAGTGTTGAAGTTAAAAATCTTTGTCAGTCCAAATTGTGAATTTATGAAAATTGGTTGTCTAAAAATCGGTTTCAGTAAAAATACTTCTTTGTAGATTTTCTCTTAATAGTTAGTGGGAATAGTTTAGTAGCCTTCTAAATCTAACTTAAAAACTAGCTTACATTCTCTCTATCTCACGAAAAAATCCTTTTCACGCATCTACTTCACTGTCAATCAGCTTAAAACTTCTCATGATTAAAATAAAAATAACTTCATTTTACTAATTGTCTATAATAAAGTCGAAAATTCATAATAAATGTCTTCAATTGACGTATATGGTCACTCAGTTTAGCAGTCGAAGGTAAGTAATGGCAACGGCCCCGGTTTCGCTCGATCGTAAACGGTGGAGTTTCGTCAGGTGTTCTATGGAGGTATTGCCGGGCGTCTATGAGTATAGCCGGCATTTTCCCCCCGATTTGCGATCCCATTGATGGGCATCTACTGCTTGATGGCTGCTACGTCAATAATGTACCCGGTAAAGTATTATTATAATTATTTTATTTTTTAAATATAGTTTTAATGTTGGTATATGTTAATTTTTATCATTATATTACGAGCCAGATTAGTATTTAGATTTTTTTAAAGAGTGTTTCCAGATTTGGGCAGTTAAAAGGTTAGGTTCAAGTAAATTACAGTCAATAAAAATGACATGGGAAATCTTAATTTTAAACATTGTTATCTACAGACATTAGTTATTAAGTTACAAAAATGAATCCATCATTCTGGTTCCCGTGTGTCTTAATGCTTTGTAAAACTATTTTACAATTCTCCTGTAACCGAAAAGCTGGATAGGATATGTCTATAATATATTTTGTTGTAACTTTCAGCGGATGTAATGAGATCTTTGGGTGCTAAACACATCTTGGCCATTGATGTGGGCTCTCAGGACGATACTGACCTCACCAACTACGGTGATGATCTGTCTGGCTGGTGGCTTTTGTGGAAAAGGTGAGGACGGAAATGTATGGTATAATTTAATATAGACAATAGTTGCTTATTCCAACTTCTTAATATTGACGACTCATAATGTAATACGGCACCTACATTCTAAGTAGGTATTTAAAAGAATAGGTATTCGGTTTTGACAAGTATTCAAAAATTTTAGGTATTGCTTATTTATAGAAATACTGTTAATATAACGTGGTATCGGTGAATACAGCAACTCATTTTTTGTGTAGGTATATTTATATTATGGCGGGAAAGCGCCATGTCTAATCTGTCAGATTAGTTCTTTGACAATTCGCTAGATGGCGTCACGTGTAGTATATAATCTGAGTCAGAGCGTCGTTTTAGTTCCACAATGTTACCGACAGATCTCGCTGTGCCGTGACGTCACTTTTCTGAATCGCGGTGTTAAGATTCTCCGGCGTTGAACGACCCTCGCGGCTCGCTCGGCAGATAGCATACTTACCTGGCGTAGGGGATACCGTGATCAAGAAGGCGGTTCCCCCAGGGCGAGGCCTTTCCATTGCACTGCGGTCAGGTTGACCCCTGCGATTATCCCTAATGTGGATAACTCGGACGCGTAATTTTTGGTAGTGGGGACTGCGTACGCGCCGTCCCCTCAGAATTCCTGTAAAATATCATGAATTGAATAGGTTAAGATCAAATCGTCATGTTCATATTGATTAGGTATGTTTTTAAATTGTCTCATTTACTTATTTCTTTATACTTACTCGATTTCGGTATTGATCTTCTAAGTTTAAAATTTTATGAATACCGGGATTGTTTTAATAATGCTGTAATTTTGTCTAACACAATATTTATATTTATTAGGTATATAAATTATAGCTTTCAGCTTATTTTTAACACAGTGAAAAAAATAAAATAAAAAGGTGTTGAATGAAAGTGCTGAAGACTAAATACTTTCAATATTTTTATCAAGAATTGTATATTACATTTGTTTTATTTGAATGTATGGTTCCCGGGGGCCCAATTCTTTTTATCCCCCAATTCCTTTCCAATCCCTAAATCTCTAAATCCTTAATCCCCAAAAGGTCGGCAACGCATTCTTTACTCTTCTGTTATTGCGGGTGTCTATGCTTATCATCAGGTAATCCGCTTACTCGTACGCAAGACATATCAAATAAAACAAATGCACATACAAAACATTTAATAAATGCAATAATTTGTTTTAAAGAAGAAATACATGGAGAAGTTTTATATTTTCAGATGGAATCCATTTACAACGCCTGTGAAGGTGCCCAACTTACCAGATATTCAAAGTAGACTGGCTTATGTGTCCTGCAACCGACAACTAGAGGTATTGTTATTATTTATAATCTTATATAGTAATTTAAAAACGAATACCTTTTCTATGATATTGTGAAATACACGTGGAATTCCAGGGAAGCTTAGACGTCATATTTACATTAATGCAAAGTAAATTTATTGATTGATTTAGTAGAACAGTATTTTTCAAAGACATTTTACAACTCAAAACTAGGACACAATAGTTTTGAGTTGTAAAATGTCTTGATTATTTCCTTATTCTATGAGTCTAATATGTATTTGGCCTGGATAGCAACAGAGCTTTCGTATCTCTCTTTAGGCAACATTATTTTACATTATGTAGATAAATTGTTGACACTCCAATTCCAAAATTCCAGGAAGTAAAGAAATCTGACTACTGCGAGTACATACGGCCACCAATCGACGCGTACAAGACTCTCCAATTCGGTTCCTTCGACGAGATTCGAGAAGTAGGCTACCGACATGGCGCAGCGTACTTCGAGGGGCAAAGGCGGGGCGGTGGGGGTGGTGTCAGCGGAGCTGCTGCAGAAGGGAGACAGCATGATGCACAACCTTCACTCACCGAGTAAGTAGAATAGAGATAGAAGATGCTTCGATTCGTATTATGAACTGTAACTTTATGAAATGATACGTAAATTAAATTTGATAAAACTTCTCGTCTGTCGGTATATGAGACAGAAAATACATTGTGTCTCACTTTCCATGGGTTAAAGGAGCACAGGAGTGATTTTAGACTTATCTAGTTGCTTCCAACTATTCAAATTCAATATTTTTACTGAAATTTCAATAGCGGTACTTTTTTATACGTTTTGTATAAAATGGCAACATTGACGTGTTCATGGCACATCTATCCCGAAAAATTTCTCGCTGATTATGAACTTGACCCAAAGGTTGTAGATGATACCATGATACTGTGATGATACTGATACATATGATAACATTATACCATAGCCATTAAGTCCGCCTCATGTACCAACCTTTTTGTTTATTTAGTGTACATAAAAGCTTAAACTAATAAATATATAAATAAATAACAAATTAATGTTCGTAATACGAGTCGAAGTGTTCATAATACATATTAAATTTTAGACTTACAATTATTAGGTATGGTTTGGCTTAGAAGGGTATGTTATATAAAATAAGTTTTTTATAGAAAGTTATTATAGATTTGTTATGGTATAAGGTCGTCAAGTAAGCAGACGAATTACCTGATAATATGCAATCGGCATTGCTCCTGGATATTCGCAACACCAGGGATTTCAGGGATAAGTATTGGGGAAGGACTGGGCCTTCAGTCACCTTATTCACATGCTCGAGCTATGTTTCATAACAATTTTCGTATAGTGAATGATCATGCTTTACTAATAGACAATAATAGGTTTTAATCTTCATACATATCCATTAAAATTAACATTTCAATTAGACTAAATAATAAACTAAATTTCATTAACACTGATCATTCGAATTAAACTTTAACTATGTATATTTATTAACGATGATAAATTAATTTTAAAAATTATAATCTATTTTTAACTAATGTCTATACTTATTTTAATAAACATAATGGTTTTGGATTCTGGGTACCAACGTTAATACTGCTTATGTATTATATTTTATAATATTTTATTGCTTATCTGTGTGCCTGAAATAACATAATGTTATCATCTTGTACTTTTTCAAATAACTGATTATATTATGTATATTTTTAAGTACCTATTTAAAAAAATAAAGCCGGGATTGTCTTCCTAATTGGTATTAGATTTGCAGTTACTGTATTTTGCTCACGAAAAAACTTGATGTTGACCAGTTTTTTATTTTTGGGTTGTTTCATGAGTCAAAAATAAAGTTTTTTTACTACAATAAAATGAAATATAGAAAATTAATCATACTTTTATGAATTGGTTCGTTGACATATTGTACGTTTAGTTTCGAATTATTGTAGATTTTATGAAATTAGCATAAACAGTAAAATGTCATGTTCTTACGTCATTTATAGAGATCGTAACATCTCATATGTGCATAATTCATGAATCTTTTATAGAATGAAATTGGTTCACACATATTGAATTTATTATTGTTTATTAATTACCGCAAGTTCGGGTTACTTTGACCCTGGGAGGTAACTTTGATCTAAATGTTCGAACCAATGAAAAACGCATATACATTAAGTGAAATAATTCTAGAATATTCCAGTTCTAATTATTCTTATCTTAACTTAGAAATTATACATAAATACGTATTCATAATTATTATATACTATAGTAAATGTAATATAGACTTTAGTCGTAGATTCGTAGATAGTAGATTCTAGAATATTCTAGCCATAATACTCTGGGCGGGTGCTACTAAGAAGACAGCTTTTGAGGATATGTGGTGGTGGTGTCCAGTAACTCATTATCCCAGTATCGGTGGTGAAACGATATAGTTTTTTATTATATAAGGTACCGGTACGGGACCACGTATTTTGAGGGGCAGCGCCGAGTTTGTGCGAGACGCCCTAGTGGCATCGTCGATGGAAAGAAGAACCATCCTCAACCCTCAATCACTGAGTAAGTTTTCTAATGTTTAATCGTGGCCATTGTTATTTTTTGGTAAGGTAATATTGTGTTGACTCGTTGTAGAGGAGATAATTAAAAAAATATTTATGAGGAAGATATCTATCCATGTTACTCACTCACTCACTTACACACGTAAAGGAACTGAGAAAGTTCTATAATATTTTTTTTAATTTACTTCGGCGACGCGAATGCTGCACATGAATAAGAGCCCCGTTGTGACTTGAAATTAGTTGAGTTTATCTCAGTTCATACACGTGAGTAAGACGTTTTTAATAAAATTCTATCCGTATATGTAAGTATATAAGAAAACATTGTTCTTTGGAAATATTGAACAATTTCGATATACACTTAAATCATATTTTTCACAAATACTTTAGACAAAAATTGCAGTTTAAGAACACACACATGATCTAGAAATTCCTTTTCAAATCTAAAACTCTTTTAAATGAATTATAGTATGAGGAAATGATATTAATATAATACTTATATAATTACCTTCTACAACGAGACGATGCGGTATTACCTTATGTCACTGACAATGGTCTATAGGAAGGAGTTTCACTCTTCTCTCTCTTTTGACGCAGAATTTCTCCGCTTTCTCTGTAAAGGACTAATACTGTATGTACCTATTTAAACAGTTACTTACTTCATATTCACATTATATTTAACAACTTACTTTCAAAAGTAACCGGTTGACGAGGAACTGGACTTGTCCTTTTTATATGTTACGTCAGTAAGCCGTTAAAAATAATAAATTGATTCATTCAGTAGGTATGTGTTACTAAAGTTTTAACACGAAATCAAAACAGGTTTTATTAATTTTCATGTTCATTCTTAACATTCATTTACTTATTAATAATGGTGAATAATAATCAACTAATATAAATGAAGATTTGGTCGTTAATGTTTTTAATTGTCAGCATTAGGGAGCGCCACAATCGATTTTGGAGTGATTACAAATAATTTGATTAGCTGGGTTATTTTTTTAAACACTTTTAGATAATATATTTTACATTTAAGGACTTGCTACATATTCTTTAGTACTATTTTTAATTTTTAGACTAAGACTTATACATTATGATTTTAGTGATATGCTCTAAATCTAAGATTAAGAAATTAGTTATTTAACGAATATTTATTAAGGAAAAAAAATAAGACATTTACATTAACAATTGCTATTAATAAATGTAAAATCTTTTCGCTACATTTTTCCTTACACTTTTATAATACATATCCAATCTAAGCGTGATCTGATTTACTGATAAATGAATAACGAAAAATTAACGCAATCATTTTCTTCTATTTTCAGTTATACATTCACTGATTTGGCCCAAATGGTGTGTTCGGTCCGCACGGCCCGTGACGTAGACAATGATTCCTCATCATCATCAGATTACGAGGAAGACCAGCGACATTTCGAAGGTTACGCCTCGGAGCCCAGCGCTGGGATACTGGAGGTAAGGGAACTTTTAATGATGTAGAGTATTTTGTAGTTGTAATCTGGTGTTTTGAGAAAATTCTGTCTGATTTTTGAAGGGTTGTTTCATGGGGTAGTTTTGTTTTTTTTTATGTAATATTCTGTAGATTCTTAAATAATAGTATATAGGATTATTAATATATTAATATAACTAGCTTCCTGTCCGCGACTTCGTCGGCACACCTCAATAATTAACACACCTAATCTTCCTCTTGAATTATTCTGCCTATTAAAAAAATTGCATCTAAATATGTCACGTGGTTTTAAAGATTTAAGTATACATAGTGACAGACAGCGGGCAGTTGAACCTTATTTTATACCATGTAGTAACATTGATTACAAAGTCTGTAGAGGTCTACTAACAATAGAAGGAAATATACCTTTCAAACTTATTTTCTTTTTATTAACTTTATGCTTTTATAATTGGACAGAGTTTTTACTAAGGGTTTTTACTTAAAATTGCTTGTAAATTATTATAAATATTTTTCAGTAGATAAGTATACTTAACTTAGTGATATCTTTAATTGGATAATATGAAGTCTATTTTATATATATTTATTTCTTTCTTTGTAGTTATTCAATGGTTTCGTTCTTGTGTGTGTTTGTGTAGTGGGGATTGCAATCCGGGATCATTTTTAAATGAATTGTAATCGCAATGATTCGCCAAGTTTGGAAGATGCATATTTTGGCATGAGTAGGCTGGCTTGAGCGGAGTAATAAACACAAAATACCAAACAACGCTTGCTTTGTGTTTCGCCTTGAATCCCTGCCAACCTACAAACAGCCGGCTCTGCCCTTGTAACCAAGTGTGGGAGAGCCAAGCTTCAGTGATACCACGGCCTAACAGAAAACAGACCGGCGTGAAGCAACCACAGCGTTGTGTTTCGCCATGTGCTTGAAGTTACCGGAGGCCCAATCCCTCCCCCACCTCCGATCTCTTCTCAATCCTTAAATATCCGAATCCGCATCCCCAAATTCCCATCCCCTTTGGTATTACCATGGGTGCCCATGGGCGGCGCCTTTGCTTACCACGTAACCCGTATGTTTGTCTGCTGGTTGCTATGGGTGGTCGCTATGGACAGCTCTGACTACCATCCACAAAGAGACCCTAGTTTGACGAACTATCTCTTAAAAATATTTTGCAAATCCGTTGTGATCTGGCTACGCTACAGAATTTTATCGGTGGGGTCGGATTGCAATCCTCACTACAGATGTATACATGGATCAGTTCAAGTTCTCAATAACTTTAACTGATTACAGGGTGAAAGGCGTGCTGTATTTATTATCTAGTTTTGGGTACTTTTTTTTACTTATGTATAAATATTAAAACATTTCATTTCTGTGCTCTGACATTAGAATAGGTGTTTTTTCTTTTGAGTACTTGTTTTTCTTTGTTTTAATTATGTACATCGTGTGTGCGTTTGAATTTTTTTAACCCGACATTCTTATTACATGGTTAGAATTTTCTGTGTCTAATAATATTTTCAAAGAATGTAGACGCGAATAATTAATTAAGGGATGTATTATACTAAATTAGTCCTTATTGCGATAGCATTAAAATATAATGTTACTGACTCTTTTGGACCTAGATATGTTCTAGGTTGCCTAGTCAAGTAACATACATATATTAATTAAAAAGCCTGTCCTGGTTATGTGAGGGATTGGTTGGTTGAGGGTAATTTATCCAGTTACATTTGTACTTAGAATTTATTAATCCCATTTAAAATGTTGGACAACTTCGGAATATTAAGTTTTTTTTCAAGCGAAGTTCAGAGTACCTTTTGGCGGCTCCGATTGCTTTACGTTCATAAGCTTGCCATCTATGTCAAAAATAACTTACAATTCCACTTATTGTAACGCAAAACTGCGTTAAATGCTTACAATATCTTAGTTTTAAAGACAATTAAATAAGTAGTTGTATATCATAATATACAAAAACACCATTTGCAAATATTATTTGTTAATTACCTACCCAAAGAACCACCAATCCCTTAGCAACCAGTTTATACAATAATATATCGAATAAATTCTAAAATTCCAACAAATATATATTCAGATGTCGTCAAGCGTAGAGGACGGAGCGGCCGCCTGGATCAGTGACACAGAATTGGTGGGCACTTATTGACTGCACCGCATTTTGTTTATTACGGTTCACAGTTGATTTTATTTTATTTATCAAGGGACTGTGACGTCACGGGCTTTCGGTATTATGTGCTTTCGCTGGTCTCGAGGTCCTATTTTAATAGCTGTTTAGATTGGTATATAACGTTTTTTAATTCAATACGTCCGTAATTCAATACTTTTATTGAAATTTCAAAAACGAAACTGTTCTTTGTCATCGTATTTTTGGGTCAAACAGCATACTTTTTAGTTAAAATGTACCCAATAAAAATTTAAAATTAAGTGTATCGCCAAATCCATGTGAATCCAAATGAAGCACGTTATTGAATATTTAGTTGCATTAAAATCTTTAAGGAATTTATTTTCGACTGAGGAAAATACCCATTTACTATACAATACTATTACTTGTAATATAAAAATAATACATAATATCGGGTATCGGCGTTCTCTTGTCAATTGCTATCTCTAAATTCATTGCCCACCGTGGCCATTGTCGCAAATAGTTTATGGAATTCCACTTTCAAACGTTGAATATTATTAATCAAAATTTTCGCATAGCGAAAATTTTGATTAATAATTATTGATTAATAATAATTATTAATAATAATTATTAATTATTGATTAATAATATTAAAATATTGATTAATGCGCTAGTATCGCATTTAGTCTCATGAACCAGTTCGCAGTATTTTCAAACCTGTTTAGAGGCATTCCTAAGATAATATTTCAGAGTAATAAAATTTCAAAAATTGTCTATAATTGCATTGAGATTATTACTAAACAGCTATTAAAATAGGTATTTTAAATGTATAAGGGTTTTTAATACTTCTCTACTCAATTCTTAATTCACAATTTCCTCTTCGCTTATTGATTGTAATTTCTATTAATGCTATTCTAAAGGTTAAGGATCTTTCTCAGTACTTTTTATTTTACTCTAGATTTTCTTTAGGGGCTTTTATCAATGATATATTAGCTTCATAGTACCTATTAATATTAATTGGCTAACATTGAATTGAGCACTTTTGTGTTATGGTATTGAACGAAGCAAGTTCACTTACATGGTGTACAATGTAAATCCCTTATGTAAATGCACTATTTTTAAATACACCATTGGTTTCTTTATTACAAGGTTTTCTTGTTTTTTTCTCCATCGAATCAGTAGACAAGTTTTTAGACATTTTGTCCTAGTTTGCACTAACTATTCAATTTAAATATCATAGTGTTAGAAAAACGTACAAACCTATTTTTTTTTGTAAATACAATCATTTTTTTATACTTAAATACAATTAATATTTAAATAATACAATAAAATTGTATATGTTATAAATAAATTATTATAGTGAGGCCCTGTTTTACCAAGTGCTCAATAATCTTAGACCGCTGATTGTGACTTCTTGTGACCTTGACTTTCATGACTGTCACCAACTATCACTTATGATGCGCTCACTGGGACTGTTCGTGAATTACAAATCACACGCATTTTTGTAATGGAATAAGTACAAAAAAAAGTCACGAGTGAGTCTCATAGTATAAATGTACAGGTCAGCTGACAGACACTGCAAATATTAACCACCATATTGTCACGTCACCGTAGTAAGCGCACTCTCCTATCTTCATTCCACTCAACTTAGTGACAAAAAAGTCGCGCTGACAAAAAATTACAATCACCCGCCTTATGACAGTTTTGTCGTAGTACACATTACATTCTTTATCCTGGAACATAATTGTTATTGAGACACTGAAACAGGGCCTTATTGTATTGTAGCATTTTCATTGTGAGTTTGTCTAATCATTATTTTATACATATACAGACAGTTGTTAATCTTACTTTAGAATTAGCTTGCAATAGTCACAATGCGATTGCAACTTTCGTGCAAAATTTTGACATTGCAAACTATTAATTATCAGCAAGATATTATGATTTATTTTCAAACAACAACACTTAAATTTATGCTCCATAATGTGAAAATTTTGCACATAATTTGATTGTGTTTAACCTCTCATATTTAATCACATACACCAAAAGTCAATGCCAATCATAATGAACAGTATCTAACTAAATAACAATCGAAAAAATAGTTGAAACTAAAAACTAACATGAGAAATCTAATTACAGGAAGGACTGCGCACGCGCAGGGTAGGTGGCTCCCTCTCGCTGTCAGAGGATGAAATAGATTCAGAAGCTGAGGTCTACGACCCTCTGAACAAAAGAGGAGGAGGTAGGTGAGACCCGACCTTGCACGATCTGTGCAAAGCCCTCTACGAGTACGTTCAGTACACAGATTCCTGTACTGAGTAACGGGAACTATCCAAATTCCCCCACCAACAGGAAATTAAGAAGACTGTGCGTGTAAAAGTGTATCAAATAATTTGAAACCCTATTCCCCATGCGACAAGGTTGGATTGTGAATGAATTTTGTAAAAAGACTGCTAAGAATGGTATTGGTAGCTCCTTGCTATACAGAGTGTGCTAAAAATGTAGATGTTACAAAAGTCTGTATGTTTGTAAGTTTATTGGTAAGACGTTTAGAACAAAGACATATTTATGTGCTATATATACATTAGTTGTATTGTTAATATTAATAAAAATGTATGATAAAGCTGAAATGAATGATTATGGTTTTAACGGATATACTCTTTTTAGTATGGGAGAGACTTAATTCGGTACGATTGGTCGGGCTGGACCTCATAGAAAATCGTCGTTTCGGTGTGTGAGTGAGGTTGGATGGTCAACCCCCAAATATCTCGTGTCCTTCCCTTACATTCAGTATGTTATTTTTGCAAGACAAGAACGGCAACAAAGTTTAGCTTTCCGTTGTCTATAAGTTAATAAAAGATATCGTTATTAATTCTCATTAGAATTAATATGTTTACCTCTTTCTTCTTGTCTTGTAAGAAAGAGATGGCAATATTTATTGTTTTACGATATGTTATTCTTTCTATGTATGTGTTATAAGGGTGTTATAAGTTACTATAAAAAGTATATTAATATTACTTTTTCCAAGACAAATTGGAAACATAATTTATAGGAAATAATACCTATATCTCAGGTTAGATGCCTGATGAAAAAGGTGAAACAATTTTCGAAATTCTCAGTAATATGGGTAGCATAGAGGATATAGTTATACCTAATGTGTAATATAAATATTGTGGTAGATTAAAATGTATAAAAATTGTAAATTGACATTCTTAGAGAAATGTTTTTTTTTTTCGATCACTATGTAGAAAGTTGGTTTCTGTACAGTTATAAATTTTCAGTTGATATTCGTCTATTTTTATATTCTTTTTGCAATTCAATGCACTGATCCATTTGGCATGCATTCGTATCCCGCATGGAACAACTTTTGAATTCTTGTGATCTACTTACTGTTGCTCCGGGTCTGGGTGTAATGTGTACGTTGGTAAATGCACCCACGACCAAACTGAAAATACTAGTATGGCACAATGTTTAAAAAATTCAAAACTATAATAAGTATTATTATAGTTTTGAATTTTTTAAACACTTATTTGAGTGTATATTTTTGTATATTGTATGTATGTCTACATGTTACACATTGAGAGTTTCGGGCGGGAATATCTAAAATACTTTATTTTGGGAAATTAAATTATTTTAAGAAGCATTCTAATTGCGCCCTCAAAGGTTAGAACTTAAATATTGAAAATTAAATCGTATACCTTTGGATATAATGGTTCCTGCTTCAGCTATGCAAAGAGGATTTTTGTACAGAATAAAAAAAGTTAATAGGGAAATTAATTGATATGTATGTGGTAATTATGTACTTCCACTTTAAATAAACCACAACCTAATTGTGATGTTTTTCTATGTCATTCATAATAAGGATTTGATAAAACATTACTATGCCATAGTATAACTCTTTCACTTGAAAATAAAATCAAATATGGTTTAAATTTTCACCTATTTGTAACCAATCAACATCCAAAGACTTCCTCAGAACAACCCTTATATCAATGCAATTAGGTTTAAATTAGTATAACATAATTATTATTATAATAGGTATTATGGAACCCAAGTGATATACGAGAAAAACTTAGATAACGAATTTAGAATAATTAGGTAACAATAATTCCAGTATTTATGCTAACAAATTGGTGTATTTGAGAGCGTTTAACTGGCACGGTTTTCCATACAAACTATGAAGTCCAAAATCCTGTAAACTACTCAACCAATTATAATAAAACTGGATATTTATATGCAATATATTAAGGTCTTAAATCTTTGTTACGTATAAAGTCAAAGTCAAAAAAAAGTCAAAAATCATTTATTCCAATTAGACCTTTACAGGCACTTTTGAACGTCAAACAAAATTTAAAATAAAAAATAGTGTCAGTCTGTCGGTCAGTCCTCTTAGTGAAGCTATTTGCTCGTTCCAAAGTGTAGATTCCGATGGAGAAGAACGAGCAAGAAACTCCATGGTTACTCTTTTTAAATCAGTTTCACATACAGATTCCTGTTACAAATAGTTGGTTCAATTATGTGAGAACAGTGTAACACTAATATTTATTCAAATATAAAAATAAAGTAACCTTAAGGACAATAGACAGTCTGGAGCTGACCAGTCCCAACTGACGGCGCTCGTTCACGAGCATGACACGTACACCAGCATCGCCCAACTCAACCATATTATAGGGAATTAAGCGATCCAGCGCCCATGCCACCGCCAGTGTGACCTTTCAGTGAGCATGACAACTCCAAGCTGTTATAAGGACCGACATTCTGCTAGTCTAACCAATTATAATAGGTTACAGGGCACTCACATTTACAAATTTATCGAGTTATAGTTATACAATATAATGCAATTTCACTAAAATGAAGAAGTCCCGTTCAAGCAAAATCCATTGGAACGTTATTTATTTTGGTGTAGGTTTGCTATCCTGTGGAGCAGGACCAGCATGTCTCCAAGCATCTTTATCTACAATGTAATCATTCAGTGTGTAGTATGCTTTTCTACATAAGGTTTTTTTACACATAATTTAAAATTTCTTTCATTTAATTGTTGTATTTCGCCTGGGATTTTGTTATAACATTTAACACAGAATCTATTTTAGAAAAAGTGATGTTGAAAGATAGAAGAGCGTTTCCCTCTCGCTTTTTATAAGTTTCCATACATTCTATATTTAAACATAATTATTATGATTAATATGTACTTATTTAGGTTTTAAGACCTTATTATATGGCGTATAAAGCAAGCAAGGTTTATTAGGTACCAAGATTTTCAAAACGTGATCAGGATTGAATGGTAGCCAGTGCCTCATAAACCTTTAACAGCTTACCACCGTACTCAGAGTAATCCCTAATAGTTCATGGTTACTAAGCTATAAAAATAATACTTGTTCAAATGTTCAGTTACTTGAATCAGCAATATTTTTGGTTTTTGTACTTATTTTGTTGTTTATAGAAATTAATCGAAAAATATTCATAGACAATATGTGCATTTTAGACTAGCCTTTACAATACACGATATATGTAATGTAGTTAGTTATGTAGATAAATTAATTACCTATACACTAAAGCATTAAAAAATATAAAACATAACATTAAAATTAATGAGCAAATATCTTCACGTGGAATACTTTTTGTTATAATTTCCTTTAGATATCAACAATTAAAAAAGGTTAAAAAACTATTCGTTTTTTCTCTTGAGCAATAGATGGCGCTATTCTTGTTTCTTGAACAATAGATGGCGATATTCTTGTCTCTCGAGTAATAGATGGCGCTAGTGGTGCGGAGTCCTAATCTCCAATAAGAATATTTGACAGGACCCTTCACTGTATCCGATTAAAATGAATACACCAAATTATATGATTTCTTTTTCCATAAAGTTAATTTTGTTGTTATAATGTACCTTTGTAATGGTATGCTTTATATATATTATCTGCCCACAAATTAGCCTTATCTGTTATTTTTAACCCCCGACGCAAAAAGAGAGGTGTTATAACTTAAAAGTAAAATCAGGTAAGGTCATTTTACATCATGAAAATATTACTACATGTTATAGTTTTGCACAAAATCATTAAGCATATTTAATGTTTACCGATACATACAGACTGTTAGAATATTGTATAATAATATTGATTTGCACATTGTACTAAGTATACAAATAAATAATATTAAAACACTCATAGGTTTCTTGATTCATGAGTAGCGTGCGCGTCGTGGCGACGTCGCTTAGCCTTTTTTGTTTTTTCTATTTTCTTATTATTTGGCTTTGTTTCTCCATATTGTTATTAATTATATGCATGGTGCATACAAGTTCTGTATTGGATTTGTACTTGAAATAAAAACTTTGAAGTTCTTTATGTTGAACCTTTTGATATTTTAGCCAAAAAATCAAGCCTCGTTGATTATTCCGTTCGATCAAAACGAACATGACTAAACATAAGTTTCTTATTATTGTAAGTGCCATTATATGTCTTCTGTTTACAAATCCATAAAGACGAAAATCCCTCGCAAAATGTTTGAGTGAATAAAATTGTGATTGTGTTTGTCGATAATTGAAACGTTTACCAATGAATAATGTGTGTATGTATTTTAATATTGTATTAATAATATTGTATATGTAGCTTTTTAATTCTGTTTTACATATATTGCACTTTTAATACGATCAGTAATTGTACACCACTAGTATCGATTGAACATCGATAAAAGTCTATAACTATGTAGATAATAATTTATTATTTAGTCTCTCCGACTGAATGTAGCTTTAAGTACGCCACGAGGCACAAAAATGTGTTAAAGTAAAAATTAAAACCAAAATGTCTAGCTCAAATATTGTAATTCACATAATTTATAAAATAAATGCTTATTATTATTAAAAAATCGAGTTTTGATTATATTTGCGGTCGAAACAAAGTTATAACACCCTGTTTATTAAAATGTTTTGTTTACAGAATGTAAATCATGTTTTATATTAACAGGGTGTTTCATTTCTTCGCCTCATTCTCAAGATAAGGTTTACTATTCATAACCTTTAACAAATGTTCCTTAGTATCTCTGACGCGTTGTAGGTAGTTGGACACAGATACAGAGTCGACGTAATCTCCCGTATCATTCTTAATAGTTTCCGCGCCCTCAATATACCTCGTTCTGTAGTCATGACTGAATTCAATGCCGTACTTTCTTGGCTCCGTGGTACCGTCCCACCGTTCGGGAGTACGGACCTTTATACTATCTATAATGTACGTTTCCAAATTGCCCTTGATAAATTCTCTAATATCAGAGCAGTCACACATGTTGATCAGAACCTGCATTGCTCGCAATTGTAGTACTGGGATGTCCTGTGTAATGCATAAGAAGACTATGCGCCGGCTAAGAGTGTAAATGAACTCTTTAACCCTCCATTTAGCACTCGTCCTTACTGTAGTGTATGCCATCAGCCCCAAGGAGCTGATGATGATATCAAGGTTATCCGACTCTAAGTACGGTAACAGGAACCGAGTCAGGTCGTACTTGTCCGCTAGTTTTTGCCCCACCTCATGTTTGCAGAGATGCATCAGACAGTTCATCGCTGCCTCTATGATCCTGTTATCACGGTACAGTATCAACTTCAGCATCACTTTGAACGCGTTCGCTTTCAACGGCAGCTCTGGATTCCACTCGGCCAAGTTCGTCAGCGATTCCAAATGCAGTAGAACAATACCTTCATGTTCGTGTTTAACCATTTTGACGAGGTTCTCGACTATGTTTTCGCTTTTTATTATAGTTTCTGCTTCAAAGCGGGTGAGGGTCGTGAGGCAACGTGCTGCAGCGTAGCGGATTTCTATGCGATCCCTCATGATTAAGAACATAAGATTATCTATAGCGTCTGGCTCTGCCATTACCCGTTTCCTGGCTTGGTAGTAATTGCCGAGTATCGTGAGGATGAGACAGACTTTCTCCCGAACGACGGGGTCCTGGTCAGTCAGTAGAACTATAAGCTTGTTTGTCACGTTCAGGCTTACAAGGAACATAGCGTTCTCTGATATTCGTACCTATTGAAGAAGTTAATGAAAAAGAAATATAAATAGTCAATTGGATAGATTTAAGTTCACCAGGAACTTAGAGCCATTGACATATAAAAAGTCATTACTAAGATATAATTATTATTACCTGATCAAGCAAAGAATGTATAGCACGAAGCTTAACGAAGGTGTCACTAGAATTGATGTCTCTATTGATGTGACGCAATCCCACGCGTTCGAATCCTAAGGCCGCTCTCGTGATGTCGGTACAGGGACCGTATAGTGAAGGCTGCATCGACTTCATTCTTTGGGCAGCAGGAATTTCTAAACAGACAACGACGTATGATAGAAAGCTTGTGATGGCTCTTTGGACATCCGAGGGTGAAAATGGAATGGCTATGGTAGTGCAAAGCACGGAATCGGTACTCTTTTTCGCCAAACGTTGGGCTGGAGAACAAAACACAAGGATTTTACCCTCTTAACAAGAAGACGTCACCCCAAAGATGCTCTTAATGACAGAAATCCACCACAATTATTAATAACTCTCTCTTACCATCATGAGGATCAAATTGAGTTTTCCGCATAGCCCGGCGCACCGCCTTATTTACAAGTCTGGGGTTCACAGTCGACTGTAGTTGAAGATACGAATTCTTGTTAGCGCTCATCATCTTGTCTGTTTTCTACTTAAATATATTTTCAAAAACTTATGTAAACCCCTCTAAAAATACAACGAAGCATTCCTGTCCTGCACAAAGCCGTCAATTTATATCTTTTGTGTAAAATATGCAATTTAAAAATTAACAGTTCTTGTTTTTTTTTGACAGTTGATATTTTTGATAGTTTTTTGACGTATCAACCCCGTTTTTTTGTTTTTAAAGTTCTTAGTACCTAGCCTTTACAGCATATGTAATTTTAGTTTGAAAAAGGATTTCTCTATTAATATTTTGTCTTCTAAATCAATATTTTTGCTTCAGTAAATGACGACATCGTCAGTTCTCTTATTATCCTCAAAAAAGAAGTGACTTCGTAAGAACGTACCTAATTAAAGAGTAGGTAAGTATAAAGTAGTAGTAGTATAAGTTTTCAGTGGAGCCCCATAAGATTTATTCTTCGGGATTCAAAGCCAGTTAATGAATAGTTATAAAAAATGAATAGTTATAAAAACATTGATAAGTTTTTAGGATAAAAGGTTATTTAAGGATGTGTCAAGAATACTATTTCAAAAAGGGAAATATAACGTGTAACTTTGTCCCACAAAAGGTTTTGCTCCTGTTTTAAGTGTGTGTCTTTTAAAAAATAGATATAAGCACATTCACATCACACCCAGACCGGAACCACAATTTGTGGATCACACAAAAAGTTGTTATTTTGGCATCAATCCTGCGACTCGATGCTCTGAAGTCAGTTACCAAGCTACTACGCCAATCGAGCAGTCGGTAATAATCTTGTCAAAGTATAAACAATAAAGAGAAACAATGCTACGAAACATATATTTTGATTTTGAGTTACAAAAGTTTTTTAATGTTCATAGCTCAGAATACAGGTTCGTAGCTAGTTTGTAGTTTAAGTTCTTAAGCTGTGTAAGAGTTAGCATTCATAGCCTTTTCTAGATTATGCATCATACGGTGGATACGATCAATGTAACTGCTTGCGTCTCCAATTTCCGCATCACTGCCGTATTCGTCTGTTATTATTTCCACTGGTTCTATACACATAGTCTCATAGTTTAAGCCGGTCTTCTCAGTAAACGTTGTATATTCTGTAGTATTCACAAATTGCTCGTCTGGACATATGTCCACTTTACGCACCAGCTCTTTAAAGACATTCCATTTTTCTTTCACTTCGACCCTCATATCTGCATTGTCGCACAAGTTTATCAATACCTGCATGGCTCGAAGTTGTATCAACGGCTGGGTCTGGCAATATGTAAGCCTTGTTAGATGTCTGATGAGTCTTTGAGCAAATTCTTTTGCTCTCCATTTTGACCTCGTTGTGATTGTCGTATACTGCAGTAATCCTAAAGTGGCTCTCACCACTGGTACGTTCTGTATATACAGATAATATAGGAGTAATTTGTTCAAGTCGTACGAATCTGCGAGCTGCTTCCCAATCTCATGTCTGCAGAGCACTGCCAAGCAATCCATTGCAGCTTGCACTACTCTATTCCGATTAAACAATAGCAGCCTCTTTAGCACTTGAAATGCGTTCATTTTCAGTGGCTTCACTGGATCCCAGTCTGATAAGTTTTTAAGGGAATTCAAATGGTACAGCACTATTTCCATGTAGTCATGTTTTATCATTTTAAGGAGGCTCTCGATAATTTTGTCATTTTTTACGATTATCTCACAGGCACATCTGTCTCTGGTCAGAGTTTTAAGGCATAGTGACGCAGCATATCTGATCTCTTTTCGATCCTCCATGATCATACTTATAATATTATCAATAAAGACTGGTCTTGATAGAATTTTCTTCCTACCTATCTTATGGTTTCCTAGTAGGCTGAAGATAATAGCAACTTTTTCTCGTATGATCGGTTCCTTATCCGTCATCAAGCCTGTTAATTTGTAAACCACGTCCTTTTCCATGAGATAATAGGCTTTTTCTGGACAAACTACCTGTTAAATGAAAAGTTACATAATTTATAACTAAAAACGATTAGATCTTCAAGGGCTAACAAAATGTTGATTCCTTTTTCGGCAGAGTTATTTTTAAGTATACATTTATGGAGATACATTTTTGAAAATAGCCTTATAGGGTTTAAGTTTTTATTCCTTTACAAAAGCTCACCTGATCAAGTAATGTGTGGATAGCTCGTTGTCTTGTCAAGTTTTTATTTGAACTAAGATCATGTATAAGGAGCTTGAGTCCTTGTCGTCCATGGCCCAGTTGAGCTACCGTGACGTCTACGTTTGGGGCACTTAGAAACGGCTGGGTCGATTCCAGCTTGTGGGCTCGAGGTAGTACCCCTCCGTAACCAACCTCTGTAAAATGAGTGACAAAAATGACAGATACCTATAATATAATATCTTTAAAGGGCAGATTACCACTGTGACTGCTAGGGACTAGAGATTAGGATTACTGTAATATACGACAGTCACAACGAGGTCTAAATGGAGAGGCTCGTTACAACTTCAAAGAGTATAAAATGAAAGAAATGGGAACCCCAATGTATTTTAATGTTAACTGACCTAATACAAACTTATTATTGTACCTATTTGATATCAGTATTGTTTTGAATAGTTGAAAACCAAGGTCAGATGCTTACGCTGCAACCCTAGAAGAGTGAGTGCATTGCCTACAAGTGCATTGCCAGTCTTTTGGAGGTTCTTTGTGTGTACAAGGATTGTGCCTCTGGTAACTACACACACAAGGGCTAAACACAAAGCAAGCGTTTCACTTTTTTTTTTAATTCGTTGCTTCACACTCGGATTTCCCCCTGTGTCGTGGGTGCGGTAACAAACATACAATTTCACATACACCTATGTGTATACGATCAATATCGGTTATGTGTGCGGTTACAAACATACAAATTGAATAACAAGACCCGGAATAACAATTTGTAGATCACACAAAGAGTTGTTCCGACACGTTGCACGGCAGCCCGTTGCCCAGCCACCGCACCAACCATGCAGTCAAAGTTGTGTCAAGCCCTTAAACACATAGGTTCAGTAGTGGACAGAAAAGGGTGTTAAAAATATTCAAAATATTGTTATTATAATTAGGTACCGGCATCGTAAATTCTTTTTCGCATGGCTCGTCTCACTGCCTTATTTAACAGCCTCGGATTAATTGGGCATTCCAGTTGTAGATAGGAGTTCATTGACGGGTTGAACATGCTTGTCAATATTATTAAAACTACTTTAAAATTAAATTAAGTATATTATTTAGAAATGATAATACAAATAAACGTTACAAAATATATCACGTTCAAATTTAAATGTCATTTTGACAGGTTTCCAGTTTGTATTGTTTATGGTTTGACGTTGTTGGGTACTTTTTTATTTAGGTATATTATAGTGTGTGTACGGGAGAGGTCATACTATGATTATCCAACCATAAAGAAAAAGCCAGACAAGATTAAATTACAACAATCTTATAATTAATCAATTCATGTCAGTGCTTATTTTATTAAATTACTATTTTGGTCATTGTAATTAGGAAGTTTCCTCAGTATAAAATTAAAATTCAACTATAGAAAGACCTAAAACAATCACGCCTACACTCAATAATTTTACAAAATATCTAGAAAGTAACGACTTACTCAAGTGAATAAACTGAGAAAAACTCTACTAATTTCAAGTCACAACGGGACTCTTAATAATGAGAGACGTCGCGCAGCCACTCTGTTGCCTGCCGACGTCGCCGCGCTATTAAAGTTTTTTTCAGTTTATTCACGAGAGCAAGTCATTATTTTCAATAAATTAAGCATAACTCGATAGCTTACTATTAAAAAAAAACATTGAACTTAATAAAATTAAATATTCACATTTTTGACTACTCTAGCTAGACACGTAAGTATGATATTTAAAGTACAAAAATTAAGACGTCACAACGTGCTATTCCATGCATTTTTTTTTATAGAAAATCGACGTTATTTTTTTTTTGAGTCATAAAAATTTTACGCTTAAGACATTTCTACAATAAAATTGTGAATTTTAAACTACACTTTTGTAACTTCCTACAAACATCCTATCCAGCTACAAGCTTATTTATTTTCTAGGGTAAGGTACTCTGAACCCTTTCCTCCTGCATTTAGTGTCGACAATAAGTTGCGCTTGTCTCTTCAAATAACACCGTGACGGTATGTCTTCTTCATCTTCCGAAGCTGAAAAGATATTTAAAAAAACATTATTTGTTTTGTACCTAAGTCAAACTATCATAAGGTTTTCACTTCATAGTATAAAACAAAGTCGCTTTTTCTGTCCCTATATCCCTATGTGTGCTATACCGTAATTTCAATGTCATCGCTTAAGGGGATAAAATAATTTTAACTAATATTTTTTGGTTGCTAGTTCAGGTAGATCTTTAAAACTATGCATTTGCGGTTTTTTAATACTTGGATTGGGTAACTGAAGAGGAAGGTTTTATGTATTATAATATCCATTAAATAGCGTAGGAAGTTAGTGTCGGCATTGCACCATGGTCAACCATTATATCTAAAAGATTTAAGCATGCATAGGGATATAGGGAGAAAGACAGAGACTTTGTTTTGTACTATGTAGTTATAGCACGAGTATACAACTACCTTATCAACAAACTATGAAAATATCACTATATTCCCCTTCTACTTATGTTAAATTTTTTCACTAAAACATTCACCTGGCTATGAAACATCTCTCTAAAATAAATCTGCGTAATCGGTTCATTATATAGGTACCTATACTTAGAGAAAAAAAGATGGAAAATTAACTAATTAATATGAAATAATTACTCTGAGCTTTTACTGGTTCCTTTTGCAATAGTTCCTTGTATGTAGGAACTTGCTTTTCAGACTCTTTTGGCGTGCTTTGACTTCCACTCATCCCGGCTACCGATGCCGCTGCGCTGGCAGGCTGCAAGAAAATAAGTATTTATTTCATTTTAGATTTTATTAAGTTTTATATTCGGAGACAAAATATTATGACGTCATAATTATATTGCGATCTCATAAAGATTTCATAGAAAAGTTTAGTTTTTGACAATTTCCATGAAATTGTTGAATTTTATTATTTTGCAATTGTAAGGTTCAGCAAGGAATCGAACCCATCGTTATTACACTTAGCGGCCAATAATATACGCCACGGCTTGGAGCTGGCGAAGAAACAGGGTGGTCAGAGTCTGACACTGTCGCGCCCCACCCAAGGCTGGAGAAGTCATTCGAAGATATTCACCCCTCAAGTCCTTATTACCTACACAATAAGTACTATTGTATGTTGTTTCAATATCTCCACAAGACCAAAAAATTTCAGTGAATCAATAAAATATCTCACAGTAGATGGCACCATGATGATAGTAGTATCCTTTTGCTTCTCCTTGATTTCTTCAGCCTTAATCCTCGCCTTCTCGTAACGCGTGGTCAGCACTGTTACCAGTTCTTGGACGTCTCTTGGCTCAGCTGTCCATTCTGGCATACTGGGTTCTGGTATTATCTGGAATTATTAAAGAATATTTTATTTATTTGTTGTTTATTTGATGGTAAGCAATTAGCGCCACCGTTTACTCGTAACACCGCATACCAAAGAGAGTTTGCGTAGCGCGCACATTGCTGGCCTTCTTGGGATTTGAGAATAGGATTTTAAGGGTAAATAGACCTGACATAATGTAACTGCTGCCTTCTTTTATTTTGTCGTGTGTACGTATTATTCCATATTATAATAAACATAAGATAAGGTAAAGCGTTTCCTATTAGTAAGTCGATCAAACAATTATTCTGACTACGTTTTGAAGAATGAGACAGAAAGAACAGAGTGCCTGGTCGTTCCGTGGCTCGCTAGACTAACCCTAGTATCCGCTAATGCGATCGAGTCGACGTAAGCTTGTGTTAGGTACTCAGAGCGTCTGTTTTAAGTTTTCGTTTTTATTAACCTGATCTTAAGGTTACAACGTTTAGCCCCTTTGATTGGTTGATTAACTTGGGGCTAACCAATCAGTCGCACACAGTACAGCGCCGTAAGTCAAAAACGTGTCAATCGATTTAACATAAAGCTTTTTCGTTCTATTTTCTGAGACTCATCTCACAATACTTGCTTGTTTTTTATACGCTCACACATTGCCCTTTGCCTATTCTGTATAAGGATGATAATAATAGTCTTTACATCTAGCAGCTTGCACAGCTCATACAGCAGCCTCTTGATCTCCAGCAGCAGAGTCTCCAGTTCGTCCATTTGCTTCTCCAGCTCCTCGTAAATAGCATTCTCTTCGGCGATCTCTTCTTTTAAAGCTGTTATTTGGTCCTGAGCTCTGCAAATTGTAAAGAAGTTTGCTAGGTCAAGAAACGGAGCATTCTTAAAATTGCATAGAAGTCACTGGAGCTCAGCAAGTATCTTTCTTCTATATTTAATATCAACTAGCCACCCACGGCTTCAATCGCGTAGTAACCACGGCCTCACAGAAAACCGGCCTGAAACAACCACAACGTTGTGTTTCGCCGTGTGAGTGAGGTTACCGGAGGCCCAATCCTTCCCCTACCCCAATCCCTTCCTAATCCCTAAATCCCCAAAATCCCAATCCTTAAAAGTTCGGCAACGCACTCATAACTCCTTCTTTGTTGCGGGTGTCCATGGGCGATGCCGATTGCTTACCATCGATACATACTGATTGGTAATCCGTCTGCTCGTTTGCCGTCCTAACACATAAAAAAAAACAAATTTCAACCATTCAAATTTCCACCACAACTTCAATTCGTCCAGCAGTTTTTATACATTCATTCTCAGAAACTTTCACATTTATAATATTAGTAAGATTAGTTAGATCCCTGACCTGATCTTGACTGCACGGTTGGTGCGGTGGCTGGGCAACTGGCTACCGTGCAACGTGTCGCGGGTTCGATTCCCGCACGGAACAACTCTTTGTGTGATCTACAAATTGTTGTTCCGGGTCTGGGTGTCATGACTGTGTATGTGAAATTGTATGTTTGTAACCGCACCCACGACACAGGAGAAAATCCTAATGTGGTGTGTCTAAAAAAGATCGTGTGCGTTAGGTGTAGCTAAACAAATTGTTTTTGTCTTTATAGGTAAAATCGTTTTTATTTTATGAATGTGTGGCATAGCCATTATATATGGGTCAAACAAGAATAGTCCATCTAATTACTCGTCTTTATCCTTGACAGAGGCAAATTTGAATGCTTCGAGCTCCGCCATCATGGTGGCTTGGGTCTGTTCCAGCTCCAGTTTCTCTTCCTCCGTAGTTTGTTGCAGGTAGCTGAGGCGCTGTGAGGTGTCCCGTTGGGCGCGGAACCTATCAAATACCTCTTCAGCATCCGTCACTCCTGGAAAATCCATGAATTATTAGCTAAGTATGTTGAGAGTATAATCTAAACATATCAATACGCATTTTAAAAAAGGAGTTCTAAGTCTGTCTTTCATTTAAACTCAGTGGAAATTTTTGAAGTGCCAAAACACCGAATTTGATTTAAATTTTTAAGTATTGTCTTGAATTATCTGAACCTACCTACCTTTGTGCTGATAATGAACTAGTATTAGAATACTTACCAGTCAGTTTCATCAGCCTCTGGAAGATGTTCTCCATCTGCTGCGACGCTGATATTTCTTCAGGAACCGTCTCACCCTCCGTGGATCTTGTTGACTCTTGACGCACCACTACTCGGGCTGGTGAGGAAATAAGGACAAGGAAAGATTGACAGAAGCAGTACGTTTTGTGATATTTTACTGTCTTCAATTTTGCTTCAGAACTGATAACAAAGAAGCGCTGCACGGTTGGCTGCCGCGCAACGTGTTGCGGGTTCGATTACCGGATCGAACAACTCTTTGTGTGATCCACAAATTGTTGTTCAGAGTCTGGGTGTGATGTTTATGTTTGTAAACGTACCCACTATAATACCCACCCCAATATAAATATATAGAAAATCCTAGAAATATGGTTTAGTGAGAATTTTTCTATGTTTAATTAATGTAAACCATTTTAGGAGACTATTCAATTACCTTGTGGAGGAAACACTCGCTTCTCCAGCTTCTCTAACTCTCGTTTTCTCTCAGCGAACCGCTGCGCGAAGTACGCACGTTCTGCAGCTCGTGAATGTTCCGCGTCATGCGCCCGCGCAGCTTCAGCCGCTGTAGCTGCGGTTGCTCGTATACGCATCTCTCCTGCTTCCTCGCGAATACGCTACAAATAGAATGCATCTTCTAAGTAAGAAGGAGTAATTCAACGTCAGTTGTAAGTACGTTTTTGCGGCACGGATTTCTATGCTTTCAAATCTAGGATCTTGGATACCAGTTAAGCGTTTTTATTTAAACTTGGTATTTATACCCAATATATCAAGGGTCTTAATTAAATTTATTTTAGAAAGACAGAGAGAGAAAATCTTAAGATACAGCTGCTTATTTATACAACATTTAGGTAAATAATTTTGGAAATTCAGTTAATTCTATTTTTATCGGGAATTTGAAATTAATGCCTCGTCAATACTCCTAAAAGTTGTCGAGTTTGCTTCAAAATGATAATTATCTATAATACTACTGTATCCATCTTCTAGTTGATCATGAGAATTGGTCGAGGTACTAGTATTATTCAGATTCAACTGAATTTCTATTAAAGGGGCTTCTTAATAAGATTAAATAGTCCAATTTGAGCTAAATGCTACTAGAATTATAAAGTCTTTGAGTACTTACCTCTAATTTCATAATTTCTTCTTTCTGTTTCTTCAACAAATCTTCAATGTGTGTAAGCGAACTTTCGAATTTGACTGAATCATCCAAAAGGGCTTGTCTGGAAAAATAATTAAAATAATACACATTCTTGTTGTTCTAACATTACTGATATCAAAAGATAAGTAGGAACAAAAAGCATTTTAAGTTGATTAAACAAATATTTTATAAAAACTATCTTTGCCTCACACTCGGATTTCATTCTTCTGTCGTTGGTGCTTTAAAAATGTAGCATTTACACACACACACTTTACATACGGCCCCCAGACCCGTAACAGCAATTTGTGGATCCCACAAAGCGTTGTTGCGTGCGAGAATCGAATCCTCGGATGTGGCACAGCAGCCGGTTGCCCAGCCACCAGCAGACACGTCAAGTGTACAATATATTTCTTTAATAGGTACATGTGTATAGAGGAAATGATCTTACCTGATAGAAATATATTTCTTTTTGACTAGTTCAGCTTCCGTCCACTGGATTAGAACTTTGTGAATCTCGTTTTCTAAGTGCGAAACGTGCTGTGCGTAAATTCGATAATTTTGTTAGATTAGTATTGAAAATGAACTATTGTATCCATTTTACAAAAGTTGTCATATCAATAAAATACAATACAATATACACTACAAAATAATAGATAGAAAAACTAAATGTCACAGAGCCAAGTTTCGAGTCGAACGTGGTATCACAATACCAGGGCCTTACAGAAAACCCGCGTGCAACCCTCATGTTCATGCATCCCTTATTTTAATTGATATTACGTATATTATTCAACTATTATATATTTTTTTTATAACAGTCAAGATTCGCACGTATTTATTGTTTAAAAATATTCTGGCATTATTTACACAATTACTTTAATATGTATGTTTCAATATATCCATGTTTAATATGTACTATTTATTGTATTCATTTACTTATTTTATGTGTATCTATTTATGTGTTTATCTTAGCGATAAAGAATCGTCTTTGTTTCTTCCATTTTCTTTCGCCTCAAATATTTGTTCAAGGACACTGTGTCCTTGCTTCTCACCAACCGCGTGATTCCTCTGCACTATCCTATGGTTCACTGTTAGAAAATGTCTTAAGGCATTAAGTCCGTCTTTCAGACTGATTTTTGTAGAAAAGAAATGAATAAAGAAATATTTTCTACTGTCCGTTAAGGTTGCAAAGTTTTAATTTTAATATTTTCCAAGTTGTATTTAAATACTCTTAATTTGATCCATTACACCTTACCTTTCTGGCTTTACTGTTGTTTTTAGACTTGACAAGTTGTCCCTTATTATTCTCAATCAGAAGATGTTCATACTCCTTCTCCATTTCTGCTAGTTTCTTCTTCTTATTTCTCTTCTCGTATTTGAGTAAGTCTAGCATTTTTCTCTGTTCTGTCACTTTTAGGTCTAGATTGTGTATTATCTGTTAACAGAGATAACAATAACGTAATTAGATGCACCTTTTTTAATTCTGCGTAAGGCTCGTCAGTTACACGAAGACTTTTAACCCGCCGTAACTTTTCCTAGATTATATTTACTATCGAGTTTCTGCCAGTGCCCTTATTCGGAGCAGTTATTCCAGACTATAATCTGTATAAATGGCAAATTTTATTCAGATCCATTCAGTAGTTTTAAATGAAAGTGTAACAAACATTAATCAGATTAAATATGTAACAAAATTTCTCGTAGTAGAAAAAGATTCTAATTAGAAACAGTTACTCCAGACGCAAAGTTTTTTGCCGTCACAGAAACATTATGAATCTGGGTAACTCCAAACTCATATTTTAAATCGATACCTTTTGTAGACTTTATACAAACCTTATCAGCGCTCTTGTCTCCCATAGGGCAGACTTCATTCAAGTACTTCTTGATCTGCACCTCATCTTCACCAATCACAGCCCTGGCCTGTGCTAGCTCTGTGAGTCTCAACTTGATTTCTTTCTTCAAAGTATCTATGAGATCATTGTTCTGTTGTTTTTCTGCTTCATTTTCCTCGTAATTTGACTTTCTTTGTCCCTCTGTACAACGAGCAATTAAGTTAAGATTTGTTATAACATTATTTCATTTAAAAGGGGGTACTGGTAATAGTGGTAATGTTAAAGAAATCGGGGTGGCCCAGAGATTAAGGCTCCCGCTTCTCATGCAAGAGGCTGCGGGTTTGAAACACTGCAGGTACCATTCTATCCTTTTCTAAGTTATACACTACTGACAAACGGTGAAGGTAAACATCGTGTTAAAACGGAGACTTAAAAATTCAAATTATACATTTGAAATCACCAAACTGCATTGAACATGGTGAATAATCCTTTATTCGTCTCCGTGAGTGAAGAGGCTGTTGTTTACCATTGAGATTGGTGATTGAGGATATCAATTTAATTATCAGCAAAACGAAGAGTTATACTTGTTCAGGAATAAATACCCGTGTTTTATGTATTGTTTTGTATGAATAAGTACTTAAATACTATCAAATATAACAATAAACAATATTCTACGCACCTGACAGTTGTATTTTCTTTTTAATCTCAAATATTTTTGTGTTTATAGTAGTGAGTCGGTCTTCTGTTTCTATTTCGAAGGGATGTTTTTGATAACACATCGCCATTGTTAGTATCGTGTGCAATGAGATTTCTTTAATAATAAAAATATTTGAGCGCCAACCCTCGTAACTAGTTTCGTTGCTACGGTTAAATATATATATATTTTATTGATCAAACGCTTGGTTGGAACAGATAAATGCAAATACTAGGTGATATTCGTTTACTGATTATTTTTAGAAATGTGTCTTGTTTTATAAAAATATTAGGTAAATGCAAAGTTATATTTAAATTAACAATGAGAATTAACAACCCCTAACTTCATTTGACAAAAGCGCCATCTCTGTTGTGGCTAATGAACGACAAAGTTCAAAAGCTCATGATTGGTTGTGCGCACACGGCGCTGCTGAATCGCTTGATTTCTCCATTGAATCAACATTCCTCCGCGTACGTTTGTATGTGTGAGTAATTCGGTTCTCACGGTGTTTTAGCCAAATATTCTACAATTCATGACTTAAATCAGTTGTGTACTGTTTTCAAATGAACAGAACTAGAGAATCAACGCGGTGATAAAGCTTAGATATTAAAATATGTGCAGTAACAAGGGGTGCGCACGCACACAGGCGCGCTGGCGGCCATTTTGATTTACCGTACGCTGTGTATTTACGGACAAAGCCGTCAGATGCGAGCGGGACGCGGCTGCGCATGTTCCTACCGGGCTTTACGTTAATTTCGAACGTGTTTTACCGCTAAAATGTCCAATAAACAAATGGTTTCGACGTAACAACAGTTTAAAAACAAAATGAAGTGTCAGTTCTTACATTTAGTTCCGTGAGTGTTGATTATTTAGTGCTCAAACGACATAGAAGGAGTAAAACAAATGTGTGTGATCCATGTGTGAATGTTGTGTTACAAAATGTGGTCGAGGAACTTTATACCGGATTATGGGATTCAATTGCTGTCAATCTTCATAGTGGTGTCGACACTGGCCACCAGGATCCATGGTGTCGAAGGTGAGTGCTAGTTATACAAGTAGTTGAGCTTATGAAAGCGCGGACTGCAAGTTTACTCGGCCGAATTGAGTTGGCGCGCTTGCTTAGCGAGCTTTCGGCGTGCCGGTGTCTTTTTACGTTTGGTCGGTTTACCATTTGGTTCTCACAGTAGGGACTTGTGAAACAAGTCGGTTTAAAAACTGGAGTGAATTCAACGCATCGCATTTTTAATGTTTTTTAATTGTGCCGCGTTTGTTGACGTTAGGCTCTTGTAACCCGACCTCGTATAATGGCATCGGCTTGGTTTTAGCTTCGTACATTGGTATATACATATCGATATACATATGAAGGCATTGCTTATTGACTTTTTATTAAGATACCCACTTCGAATAATTTATTTAGAATAACCAACCCATTGGTTTCTATCCATCTATATTTTGCCACTTTTATACGTAGTATTCTCTCTTCTTGCACCCTTTCGCTTTTAATGAGGGTGGCAGTATTAATAATATTTCTATTTAAATAATCTTCTTCCTTAACTTCTTATCAGTAGAACAATAGACCATTTTCTTCGGATTCTATTTGAATCGTTCCTAAAACTATCTGCATAGAAATCTTTTAAGCCGATCGGCGAGCGTTGAATATTTTATTTTGATAATCTTCTTTTCAACTTAAATCTGTAAGCCTTAAGCTACTCGTTGAAGGTAACAACACATTTTTAGTTCTAAATCTTTATGTTATCTATTTAAATGCAAAATTGTATTACTTATTGCGCCTTATATACTATATAATGGAATTGACATAGGCATACATAAAAATACACAAATAATTGGCCGCGTATATTCACAGACAAGCTATAAATTTTGAAGTCCATGTTTTAACTAATAAATTCCAAATGTAAAATTCCATAAATGTGTGCCAAATACGTTTATTATCATTACAATATATTTATTATTGACATCAATTTAATCATTGGATGTAATTACAGTACTTATTTTTACAGTTATATTTATTTTATACAAGTACTAGCGACCCTCCCCGGCTTCGCACGGGTGCTATACCACTATTTAATTGATGCTGTTATACCTACACATAAACTTTCAGTCACTATCTATTTAAAAAAAAACGCATCAAAATCCGTTGCGTAGTTTTGAAGATTTAACCATACATAGGAATATATATATATATATATATATAGGCACAGAAAAGCTAACTTTGGTTTATACACATGGTAATTAGAATTTAAGTTACAATAAAGACAACAGTTCCCAGATACCGAACACAGCTCGGTTTAATATTTTTTTTCTTCTAAAAATGAAATCTATGTATAATTTTGCGTCCCTGAAATCCTTTACGTACTTTCATCGAAATTTTTCTAGCCTTCTCCGAGGCAATGGGAATTGTATACAAGAATTGCTAGTTTAAATGTATAAGATAAAAATATTGGGTAATTATTAGTTCTATATTGATTTGTTAATAAAATTATTGGTAATTAAACTACAAATATTTCGTACGATTTAGGGTTGATTTTTCAATGGCTAGATGAAAATTATCTTTGGAATAATTATGATGCTCAGAATGTTTGTACATATAAGACAGTGACAGCAACAATTTTATTCCTCAGAAAACGTTTATCTGACTATTAAAAAATCAGCCCTTACACATGATAAATCTTTAAACAAAAATTTCGGCGTGCACGCATGCTGCTTGATTGTCCATCAGGTTAGAGTGAAATACATGAATTATTGAAACCATTTAAATTATGAAGAAGTCAGGTTAATAATGACATTGTTTTGTCAGACAGTAAAAGGGAGATAGAAAACTGTTAGCGACTCCTGACGAAGTTTTAATAGAAACAAAAAAATACGAGAGTTCAGGTCAGATTTTTTTTTTCTTTTCTAATCTAAGGTCATCGGAACATCCTAGATCAAGAGATAAGGAATAAAACTTTAATTCTTAAGATTGGGTACGACATGAATGTCTCCAAAGGTTGGGTGAATACCAATGTGGTCATCCAGCATTAGGTATGCGCAGCGACTCCACACGATTTCTATGGTCGGGACACGCTTGGGACATTTTGAATATTGATCAACTATACTGGCACTTTACAACTTAGAAGGGGACAATACTATGTCCACAAATACACCATTTTAAGGGAAAGTTACGTTTAAATTTTGGAAAATAGTCACTCGTTTTGTATGCTCGAATGAGAAACGGACGCAATTCTATTTATCTTGGTTGTGATTTGATTTTATATTGCTGTTTTCATTGTATAATTTTATTTTAAATGTTTATTGTCTTGGGAACTTTTGTTTTGTTTATATTTAGGTATATTGTCTTGTTTACTTTCGATTGTAGACGTGTTAGGATCACGTTTAACCTATTCCCATTTAATTCGTTCTTTTGTTTCACCCTTTTTTACTACCTATCTCACAATTTACATCTTGTATTGTTTACATAATTTATGACATAATCGAATTGTTTTGACCCGTCAGACAAAAAAAAGATTAAAAGAAATTAAAATTTTTAGAATCATAGAAACACTTTGTTAATATTGATAACATTAATATGCATTTAATGTACGTATGTTTTTTAATACATAATTCAAGCTAAAACAATTATTTCAACGTGATAAATTATGAGTTCACAATGAGCTTTTTCATACAAAATATATAAGAAATATGGCGAAAGTATTATATTTGAGTAGTGAAAAACTGCTATTGTAACATATTAATGTAACAAAGATAATAAGATTATTGTAACTTAACTTTTATTAATATTACTGGTATACTGAATTCTGACTTTGACTGTAACGATTCATATTAATAATCACTAATTAATAAACCTATCGATCTGTTACAAGTTCTCTTTTCGCTTCCAAAGCTTAACGTAGAACAAGATAGGCCCTAAATATTTCAAAATATTCCTCAAGACACATGCTTAGTAACAGTAACATTGTCTGTTACTTATACCGAAACAAAGTAAACAGTTAATGTTATGGACACAGCGCCTCAAATATTGTTTGAATCCATTAATAGTTTCCGTCCGTCTGTGTTTTGCGTACCTATTTCCTATTAGTCGTTAAGATATTTTGGTTATCTCGGTTCAAAGGTTGCTTTAAGACAATCAGTGTGAGAAGTATTTGCAGTTTAATTTAATTTTGGCCACCTTTTGTTTTCTTATGGGTGTGATAGGGCGGCAAATGAGAAGACTGATAACTTGATGGTGAGCTATTGGCACCGCCCTTAGATGCTATCAACATCACAAAAGTTACGAAGCGTTGCCGTATTAGGGTTTCGGTGATTTGGGGATAGAGGGGAGAGGAACGATTGGTCCTCTGGTTACGCCATACGGCGAGAAACAACGCTGTGGTTGCTTCACGCTTGATTTCTATAAAGCTGTGTGGTATCACTCCGGTGGGGCTGACCATGAATGCCCCATACTTTGACAAAACAACAAACTGACTCAATTTTACTTTAATTATCTTTAAAAATATATTTTCGCTAAACCGAGAATTATTTTCTTGATCAACTTTATCAACTCCATATTATAAATATCCATAAAAATTATATGGAATGTATTTCCTACAAATTCGTTCTACATTCAAATATTTTTCGTTTCTTATTCTATATTCAAATATTGTGAATCAACGTCTTAAAATTTCATTGCCAAAACTGTTTCTATCTCGCTCTGTTTTCAAGATGGCAACAGTGGCAGGTAAAATTTTATACATGTGAAGTTTTTGAAGGAGACTGTTCATCTTTTGTGGGGGTTGCAAAGGTTTTAACATTCATGGGTTTATTATGGATTTTTGAGGGCATCGATGCGTTTGATATTTTATTTTAAGAGATGAATGAAGCTTTTCAATTTAATTTTGGGGTGTGTTATATTTACGGATTCAGTAAGGATGTTAAAACAGAATATATTTCAGTGAGGTTAAATATGTAATCGGATCTGAAATCGTTCGTAAATAGTTATCACAATATTCATTGGTTTCTGTCCTGTTTCAACTACGAAAAATTTTTTTTACAACGTAAAGGAAAGTTTTAAACACCAAAAAAATATTAACAGATTTA